CCTTGAGGTTGTAAAATTACCTGAGAGTTGCGAGATCACACGTGATTTGGCTAGTTATGTGATAACAAGCTAGGTAAAACATGACAGCATGTATTCAAAAGGTTTCTGATTTTTCACCTCAGTGACAAAGGCGTCACAGGTAATTATGATTTTTCTTTACTAATAAACTGACAAGAAATGTGCATGTGTCTTTTATTTTGAAAGTTACCAGATCTATTACACTGGTCCCGTATATGACTTCCTGTTTGGACCGAGAGGCACAACAGTGTGCTTCTGGGACGCGTGCAAGACAAGCTATTATGCGCCCCATGAAAATGAACCCACTGAATACAATGGTAGCTATTAGCTGTGTGTCATGCTTCATGAATGTTATGTGAGAAATACACATCCAGTAGAAACCCAGGGTTACTTTTAAATGAAAATTATTGAGTATTGAAAATTTCCTAAATATTTATCAAACTAACATTTAACATTCCCACAGCTTTTTCAGTATATTTGCATATTGTACATCAAAACATATATTTTGTCTTCTTTCACTCACTGTGGATGTGTAGATGTGTTTAACTGAAGATGAAAATGTATTTTTCAGAAATCTCAGGAATTTCTAATATTAAATGAGCGCGGAAAACTACCGGTACTCTCTGTACACTAGAACAAAAGTCCCGGTACGCTGTGAGGTATAATTTAGAAGTGCCTGTACTGCATACCGATGTGTACCAGCCCGTTTAAAGCACTGATCACCCCCAGAGTACAGAGAGATCTTGGTCAACGTTTCATTTATTTCAGTAACAGCATTTCCTCAAAAGTGAAGGATACCTTCAACTTGTCACATCTCCTAACTAAAACAAGATAAAAGCACAAAGCACAAAAATGTGCATGTCCAACCATGAGACCCTCCTTAAGCTTGTGGTTTCAAAAATATATATATATATATAATTTTTTTAAACTTGTAGTTTCACCAAAGCTACAGTTCAGTTGTGGTTTCTTTTCAGTGCACACCAAGCCCAAGTAGGCATTTCCTGCATTGGAATGGCACCCTTCTGAATTTCTCCATAAATGTTCAAGTTAATACATTTATAAAGTCTCTTCACTGCTGAAATGTCTGGTACAAGAAAGGAAAGAGGAAAAGTGAAAAAACATCCTTTGCAAAGTGAGAAAAAAGAAAATCAATGAGGTTTTCACACCCCGGTCTCCTCCTCCTGTGGTGATATTTCTATCAGAGTCCCATTTATCAGTCTCTAATGGGACTCTTTGAATTCATACTCACATCTTATTACCAAAGGGGGACACACTGCCTGAACCAACCTCTATTCTTTAAATGCCATTCATGTCTGTGACCATGCATCCTAATGCATTTTCATTCCCAAGGGAGACTCTCAGATGCCAAGTTAATGTAAAATCAAAGAAACACCCAATGGCAGCAAAAGCTGAAATGTAACCAGATAAACCAGTCTTGCTTTTACTGGATATGTGGAGGTTCCCTTCAAAATGTGTTTCAGCTCAGATCAACAGCAAGCACTTGTGAATATTATAGCAATATTACTTCTTGTTGACCTCAACAGGAGAGCAGTAATTGTTTTGTGCAATTTAAAATAAGTTGTTTTCAATGATGAGTAAGGGTTGGCCACAAGCACACAGCTCCATTTAAGCTATTAATGTGCTTTCTTTTTCTTCTGGGTGTCTAAAGTGGATGTTTTAGGTTTGTGAATTCTCTCGTTTTAATGGAACTTCTTGTTTCTGCAGACAAAAAAATCTTTTAGTCATCCAATTATTTTCTGCCTCACCTCCTTAGGGGCACAGTGAAAATATCTGCTTGATAAATGACACAAACAGGTAGATGTTAAGGTGGATTGAGCTGAAAGTTATTACGTCTTTGTTACAAGTGATGTTTGTGAGCTGGTAATGAGCTTTCACGTTTAGCTTGAAGGTAATAGAGGATCAAACTGTTCTGTCGAGTTCTTTAGAGAGGTCTGAGTGCAGAGTTGTGTGTGCCGGCTCTGATAACAGAAGCTCAACACAATTAGATGAGCTTCTTGTGATGCATTTGAAGCTCAAAGAGCACCAAAGTCACTTTGAGCATTTAATGGTTTACATGCTGATGCAACACATTCTCACACCCAAGGCAGTTGATGCCCGGCATGTGGTCATGTGTTCATGAGCACATCTTTTGTCACTTTTGATGTTTCTTTCCTCCATGTTTTGTAAAACACACCGTGACGCTCTCATATTTGATACGTTAGATGGACTCTTTTGCCTTTAATGAAATTTAAAATTGTGGGATTTGATTAAAGGTGTGGAACTCTGAAAAAAAAATTTTAATTGTTACTTTTTTATTATAATTGGTCACCGTAAGCTTTTCGTGCAGGCTGATCATGAAAATAGTCTGCTACACCTATCTCCTGCATTAGCTTCTGATAGACAGAGAAAATCTAGGATTTGAAAAGCCTGACAGATCTACGTCACACTGTCACTTAACATTCCTGGACTCGCCCATCTTGAGTCGTGACAGGGAAGGCTGAAAACATCTCAGCTAGTATAAGCTAACCATTAGCATTAGCAGCTCAACCACATGGTAGCAGCTCCTGATGTGAGTTATTTGTGGAGATAAATCATCATTGTCACAGGGCAAATGGAGGTAGTGGTAGAGTCGTGGTGCTGTCATCCAATCTGAGGCTAGATGTCCAAATATCAGGAAATAAGAATCCAAATTCTGCTGTCTGCTGCCACTCTCTGCTGCAGCAGACTTTTTTTTTGTCCCGAGTACAGCTTGCAAGGCATTCTTACCAGAGATCACTGCGAATGTATTAAACAATTTCTCCACACCTTTAATTGTGTGGCTAAAGTAAGGCGTTTAAGACGTGTGTACATTTTGTCTAAACCGAGTGAGCCTTTGCCTGCAAATGAAAAATGCGTTGTCTATATAACAAGTTTGCAAAATAAACTTTTCTTTTCACCTTGACAGATTTATTTTTGTTTTTTTTTAACAGGATGCACAGACAAATAAAGAGAAACAGTCCTAAGTGAAGATGAAATGGGTAAAACAAATGTTGGATTGTCTTAGTTTTCTATTAAATTAACATGAAAGCACAATGAAATCCATGCATGCAGAACATCTGAATGTTTTTTTTTTAAATCATGGTCATGTTAAACTGATATGTTGCAGTAACTCATTATCTCAAACACAGCTGCTGCACATACCTTTCTGAGGTAGGGGCATGCATCTGGCCACCAAAGCCATTCTTTCCACACCGGGGTGTCACTCTTTCATGTTTGTTTGTTCCATCAGTGTAAAATATGCTGCTTCTCAATGGCCATGTGGGAAAGGCGGGACTGATGGGTTTTGCAGAGGTCAGTTTGCTGCTGGGTGCACAAACGAATGAAGCAAGACGACAGCTGTATGTGTTCTGCAGCTCAGTGCAAGATCCATCTCGACAGAAAAAGAAATCACAGCCTCATCAGGCATTTCTAATCAGCTCAGTCTTTGGGATGCATCAGTAGAGTGGTGTTTGTAAAGTCATGCAAAAAAAAAAACATACTGCTATTATTCTGCATTAGCTTCAAATATTGCTCAAAACAAACATTTAGAATCAGATTTTGTTATATAAAAATAAATTTGAATATTTAAAATCAAATCTTAATATATACGTTTGAAAGGAAAAAAAATAGTAAGTCTAAAAGGTGGACTTTGAAGATGTGGTTCACTCGTATAATTAATACATTTGCAGTGACAAAGGAGTCCAGCGCTGCCTGATACTCCAACTCCTCACTCCAATACAACCAACCACTGCAGAGTCATCAGAAATCTCTGAATGTGGCAGGTTTCACTACAGTGGCTGAAGTAGTGGTGGGTGAAGAGGAAAGAGGAAGGAACAGCCGTGTTAGACCACTGTGTCCAATACACCGTTCTGAAGGTGCACACACTGTCTCTCTGCGAGGTCGTTCACAATCCAGGACACAAGTGAAACGTCTACCTGCACTGCTGTCAACTTCTCACCCTGAAGGATGTGTGATGGTGGAATAGTCAGAAAACAAGACCCTTGCATAGCTGTTCAGGACTTTGGTCAGAAGTTAAAAACAAAAACAAATGTTGCATTGATTGAAGTTTATATGAATAAATAATAATAAATAATAATGAATAAATAAATCCATATATAATAGATGGGGTTGCATTTAAGTATTTAGAGTCAAATTGTTTCTGTGATTTTATTTAAGAGATTGCTTCATTCCGCTTTAACTTTGTGAGATGTAGTTTATCATCTTTTTAAGATTTCAACATTTCAATGTAACTTTATATATTTAGATTTGATTCAAATGTATGCAGAAATTTCAAACAGCTAGATATAAGCCTTACACTGTAATTTTCTAAATGAACGTGGTGAGACATGAACTTTAAAAATTTACCACGTGGTTTGTATTGTAAGGAGGAGCTAAATGTTAAATTTGCAGTATTTAATTTTACAATCAGCACCCTGTAGGACTCTGATTGTTCTGAGGCTTTACAGATAAACTGGAGCATGTGGAGATTCTGCATGGACTTCAGAAGGAAGAGAAGAGGGGGTTGTGGTTGTATTTTCTGATCCTAAAACACAGGTGCAGCTTTAGCACCCCCCACTCTGCTTTTTCCCCCAGCTGCAAAGTGTTTGTCCGTCTGATACCCCAGTAAATCCTGCTTTTTTTTTTATGGATTTGTCTTTTTCAAACCTGTGATTTGCAGAGATGAGGGGTAGGTGGAGGTCATTCTATAATACATCTGACAGTAAGGGGGTGTTAAGCAATCAGTGTGGCAAACTAAAAGACATCAGTTCTGTCAAAGGTGCAGAGTCTTCTCGCTGATCAGAATTTATTGTGGAAATAAACATCAAATATCTCATTTTTATGCAGCTGCGCATTTGCAAACCCTTATTTCCTGCAAAGACGTGTGCGCAAAACTAGAACATGAATAGAGGTTGGGTTGGGGTGGGGGGTGCTCTGGGAATTTGGGGCTTCCACGCAGCGTCACGCAGAGTCGATCATTGTCTCTCTCACACTTTCTAACAAGCCATTTCACAAGATCCAGACAGCGGATCGGGCTGTGCGCAGCAGCAGCAGCGGTTTCACCCTCAGGGCTCCTTTCTCTCCCCTCCGTCGACAATAACCAACAATTTGGATTCTCCACGCGGATGAGACCAATTACTGGACCTAATCTCTCATAATGTCTCCTTTCCGATCGACTGATGTCAAACGAGTTAAGAAATGAGGCCGTGGGGATCGAAGAAGTTGCTGTTTCACGTTTAAAAGAAAAAAAACTGATTTGACTGCAGCGCGCACTACTGGGGATCATGCACCGACTGGTGGATTTTACGCTCGGAGAGCCGCTGAGTGCGTTTGCTTTCGGATTATTGTGACATTCTGCATCATTACGGAGGTTTTTTTCTCTTTTGAACCAAAAGGAAAGAGAGTCTCCTTCTTTTTGCTCTTGTTCGCTTCGGGTTCCTGCAGAACTCCAGAGTCGCTTAGAGCCCATGCAGTCGCAAAGGTTTGTCCGTGTTGCTTCTTTCATGTAAATGTATGTTATAAGAGTTTATCCTGCAATTTGTGGGCGGTTTAAACAAACATTCTGCGTTTTAGTACCTGAAATATGCAGTTTTACCAACAATTTAATGTCTGAAAAGATGCATTTCTGCACAAAAGAAGATCTGATTCTCCAATGTCACATATAAAACAACTCGTTCTTTCATTACAAGGACATTTATTAATATGTTATGATGCCAATGGCTCGCCACCATAAAGCTGACTTTAATGTGCGTTTGTGGAGGGTTTTGCTTCCCGCGCGCCTGCAGGATGCAGCTTTTCACCTGTTCAATCCTTTAGATGCCTGACAGCTCCAATTAGACCAATAACCGGGGTTGTCCTGCAGCTCACATTTAATGACAGCTTTGCCTGTCCTCGTAAAGCCATGTGCGTCTTGGTTTGAGGTTTCTTTAACAAGCGCCATCTGTTGGAAAAGAGAAGCTGTCGAGGTAGATCTGGTAGGGAACATTTGGACACTGAGCACAGAGCCAGGCCTTAGATTCATCATGACATGTTTGAAATTGTGTATTCCTCCATGCAAGAATGTGACTGAAGAGAATGTATTTCATTTTTTCTCCCTATTTGCATTTAATGATGGATCTGAAAAACCTAACAATTAATATTTGACAACGTCATTAAGACTTTTAATGATGTTATAACCTTCTAGAGATGCCAATCCAATAACTACAATACTAAAAAAATGTTTTTAAAGGACATTCTAGCATTTCTCTGCAATAAAATCCACCCAAATAATTAATTTTCCCACTATTGTATTGGTTGTAATGGATGAAGATATTTTATTTAAGCCCATATTGAAAGTTAGCTGAAGCTGTTTTTCCCTCATGAGGATGAAAATTCCCTGTTTTCTATCTGGGAATGCTGGATGCTGTAAGGTGATCCTCAGGTCCATCACTGTCCACACTCAGGTTTCATATATTTTCATTTAAAAATCCATCCTCAGTCTTCTGCCAGCTCATTTATATTCCTATATCACCTAATGAACACAGCTATGCTCCCAGTTCTTCGTCACCTTCACTGCACTTGGAGAAAAATAAATTTTCCAACTCTCCCTCTTCATCTTGGAATAATTTGACCTGGAACTGTTGATCTTTAATCCATTAAAGGATTTTAAACGTATCTAAGAGGAGCGTTGGAAACTTGGACCCGTTTTAGCAGCTTTGTTTGATGTGTTTGTTTTACTCTGACATCATCACCTTTTAAATCAAGCTCTTTTCTAAATCAGTTGCTTTCAATGCTAGACTTTATTTCACTAATTTGAGCCACAAAGCAAATTTTGCTGCTCTGTGCAAAGATGCAGATTATGAAGACTCTTGTCAATGCTGCGGCTGCTGATTGTCTTTAATAATGAAATCAGCTGGACATAAAAAAACTAAAGTGTGGCTTGGAAAATAGTCTTTGCCGTGTAATTGCTTATTTGGATTATTATCTGATGCAGAATAGTGAACAAAAACAAACATCTTGGAGTTCAAATCCAAAACTCTCCTTTTAAAATCATCTTACACAAAAGTCTCAAAGTGCATTTTTTAATCAAATATGAAAAAATAAAATCCCAGAATAACTAAACCTGAGACTTATTTCTGTCTTGTAACTGAGCAAAACCATCCTAAACAATAACCATTTAAGCTATCATGCACGTTGCAGCTAATTGTGCACAAGCACGTCTAACACAGATGACTACCACAGGTGAATATGCACCACTTAGCCTGACTGAAGACCTTTTCCGCTCAGCAGTAAACCGATAAATAACAAAAATTAAATAAATCAAAGCCTCCCAAATATTAAAGGATGATTTAATTTGGGTTTGCTGCAGCCGCAGTCCAATAAATAGTCTGCAATTGATCAAACACATCTCAGAGAGCAGCTTAGAGCTTTCAGCTGCACCCATTCATTTCAGGTGTAAAAACTCTGCGTTTTACTGTAAGTTAGTCTACACGGGGCCACCCTTGTTGAGAACATGTGCCGGCGCAGACCTTATTGTAGGAGAACATATCCATCACCCGTGGTGGAGCTGGTGGGGTGTGGGAGTGGGGGAGGACAGCAACCACAAAGACATTCACCACTCTGGAAAAATACTGTAACAGCCAGCCACAACCTGAACACACGGCCATCCATCAGCTCCTGGTTCAGCTGAAATTTCAATGAAAGGCTCGGTGATGTAACATTTGTGAAACTGAAGAATCATCAGAGGAGGGAGTGTTTCTCTTTAAACGAGGGGTGACAGCAGCTGGCTGTTTACAAAGTCGGTCAACTCTTTTGCCAACGTCCCTCATATCACAAGTTAAAACCTTCTGAAGTATTTACGAGCTGTCATCTATCAGGAGGAACTGATGGCGCTTTGGAGAACTCTGCACTTGAGCTGCTTTTAAAGTTTATGACTATGGTCTTGTTCCCGGCGTCTCAGAAGTGAGAGGTTCAAGCATTTGTCAGCAAAAACAGACAAATATGACATCACTTCTTCACAGAGTGGAACCCGAGTAGACAGGCTTGTCATCACTTTTCCGCGACATGCTTTGTTTAAGATGTTATTTATGTTACATCTTTTTAGTGCTGATGTCACAGCTTTTGAATATTTCCTATTATTTTACAGCATAAATTAAAGCGGTTTCCAACCTGTGGCTCTGGGGCAACAATTTTCTCTTTGGTTCTTTGTAGCAATAATAAATGTCACGTCCAGTTTGATGCAAACATGTCATATAATAATATAAGCAGATACATTTGCTCTAAGAGTTTCTTAATGCTTCATTAATCTGATTCATCCTCTTAATCTGGCATAAACACAACTGAAACAGTTAGTATGCAGATTCAATTCAATTCAGTTTATTTGTATAGCGCCAAATCACGAAGAGTCATCTCAAGGCACTGAACAAAGTAAACATTCCAATAGCGTTCAGCTCATTAAAGTGATAGTGTGTATTTTTCCTGGCGATGGGGGCAGTGGATACCTGAATCATTGCAAGCAAGCAGTATTTTTAGGTTGGAGTAAGACCTTACCAACGGATGCCCGTTAGGGTCAAAAAGCCCTGGGGAGTGCAAACTTTAGCAAAATAACGAGCACATCAGACACCCTTTCATCGCTGGCACCAAGTGACGAGGTAAATGTGTAAAACAACATTTAAGAATGACAAAAGTTTTGTAACCGTTTGTTACAAATCAATAAATGCATTTTGTCCTCACGGGCTCCCGTAGAAGGAAACATGGCATCTAATATGGCGTCGCCCAGACTTAACTCCGATTCCATGTATTTTAGACCTGACCGTCAATATTTTTCAACAACTGGGCATAATTTCATTCATTTTCAACAACATTATGATGGATATTTCTAGAAATTAATGGAAAAAACGACACATTGTGTCTTTAAGCCAACCAGTAAAAGGTTTCCTATTAAAAAAACCGGCAGATTGCATCGAGTAGCTGACAAGTGTCAGTGTCTTTACAGCAATCCCCATTCTAAGCAAGCATGTAGTGACTAGGACTATAGCGATTATGGGTAAATATGCCTGATATTTATTCATGTTAAATAAGAGCTTTGGTGTTTTTTCTTTGGCATGTATCAAACTAAACTACAGCGAGCAGGTCAGGAAAACACACGCGCTATCACAATGATTAAAAGAATAACAATCATAGTGTCGCAAAAGGAAAACTGCAGGCAGTTGCTCATGATTGTATTCATTTTTTCTTTTTGCGATCTTGTTCCAGAGCTCCACTGAAGGTGGTCTTTTGTACCGTGTGATGAATTTGTTGCCAAGATGTTTGTGCATGTTTTTAATTAAAAAGAAATATTGTTCATATCTTCTAAATCGTTTTTCACACACATGCTTCACAACCTACCAGTGAATCCCAAAAGCCTGGAAAAGCTGATCTGTAATTCCAGATTTAAGTTTTATTGATCAACATTCATCCGTGTGTTTTGTGCTTTGACTGTGCACATTTTCTGCTGTTTTCTTATTGCTTATGATTGTAGGTTTAGTTTTTATGTGGCATATTTACGTTGTTGTGTAGTATACAGGTTTTTGTTGCAGTTTCATGCTGTTATGTTGAAGAATGTGATTGTGCAGCTTTATGTTGCAGGGTTAAGGTGTGGAACACTAAAAAAATGTTTTTTAAATATTACTTCTGATTATAATCGGTCATTCTGTGTTTCATGCTGGCTGAACATGAAATAGTCTCCTACACCTATCTCCTGCATTTGCTTCTGATAGAAAATAGACGGTGAAACTCTGGGATTTGAAAAGCACACGCTGTCACTGAACGTTCATGAACTCATCGCGACTGGGAAGGTTGTTGTTGGATTATCGTCCAGGAAACAGCAGCGAGCGTTTCGACCAGGAGAAACTAACCGTTAGCATTAGCAACTTCACCACGCGGCAGAACTCCTCCAATCTGGCGATGTTTGTGGAGATGAAACATCGATATTGCAAAGCAAACTAAGTCAGAGTTGTGTTGCTGTTAGCCAATTAGAGGCAAGATATCCAAATTCTGTTGAAGCAACTTTCAGCTGAATTCTCTGTGCTGATACAGGCTCCTCTGAGCTTTCCCCCCATACGACTTACAAGGCATTCAGAGACGACTGCAAACATATTGATCAAGCGAGTGTTCAACACCTTTAATGCTGCTGTGTTGCAGCATTATTGTGGGTTTTTTTTTTTGGGTTGTTGAGTAGCTTTATGTTGCATGTGCCACCTTAGCTGTGTGATCTGGCATGAACAAAGAGTAACTAAATAAGTTGTTTATGCATCAGTAACAGTTCCTGTTATTGTCTCCAGTTATTTAATGTTGCTTTGGGCTCACACAAACAAAACAAGGCATTTTTGCTGATGGGAGTTGGCGCTGCCACTTTGTACGTCGTTAAAGCTCAAACAAGTCTGCACATTGAGGTGTAACGTGAGATTTAGAGAAGACGAAGGGGGGGTAAGGGCCGGACAGGCAGCCGTGATTGGTGGAGTGTGTCCGGCCGCACCTCCTCCACGCTCCCCGGGAGGAACGCAGCTCCGCTGCCCGCCGAGCTGCGAGTTTCTCTGAGGAGGGGAACAAAGCAGCAGCAGAGCGGGCAGCGATGAGAGCGTCACGGGCTGGTTTCTGCTGTTTCCTCCGGATAACTTTTCTCCCTTGTTTTTACTGAATGTGACCAGGGAGAGGAGCGACGTGCGACCCCGAGCTGGATGGATGGTTATGGGGAAAAGAGGGATACCCTGGGCGCTTGAAGTGAGCAGAGTCCTGGCTGTGTTTTTCTCACTTTTACCCTCCGGTAAGAAACACACTTCTGTCTTTGTTGAGTCAGGCACGGATAAAACAACCTGTGTAGGATAAGCAAAAGTTAACTTTTTATTCAGTTGGCACAGATGTGATCTCTTATCTAATCCAAAAGTCTCCAAAACTAGTTTTCTTCCAATGGCAAAAATAAAAATGTTGGACAAAAGTTTGCTTCTTTTTTTTTTGTTTGTTTCAATCAGATGTTATTGAGTATTTAAAGACAAATTTGTCTGATGAGCTTTAAAGTAACTATTTTTCAAAGTTGTGTTTTAGAAGAGAAATGGGCCACCGTGTCCTACTAAATAACCTGCGGATTTTATTGGGTCAGATTGAAATCTGACTAAATATAAAACATTTGACACTCTTATCTTTAATTGTTCGAGGTGATTTGAATATATATTTTTAATTGTGGTTGGATTATTTTTGCATGAAACCATAACAGCTATAATATAGCAAATAATTACATTCCGGGGGGGGGGGGGGGGGGGGACCTCTTTGGTAAAGAATATTCTGAAAGCAGCTTTCTGTTCATGTTTTTGGGCGAAACAATATCCTTCATAAAAAAATAACACTGATCACACACAATCAGGCAGAACTCACACAACAATGCAGTCTTTGAGATTTGTTTCATTTATATTCCAGTAGTGGTTTTTGTGCCTATAATTTGTGTAATCAAATCTTTCTTCAGGGAATTCATGAAAGTGCAAATAAACTAGATCAATCTGGGCTGATTACAGTTTCTTATTGACTAATCTGAGTACATCTTCTTGTTTTAAACACCTCTAGTGTTGGTATAACTCCCATCCTTGTGTAAAGAGGTAGCCGTATGTAGAGTAGATGCTTCAGAAAGCAAATCTCCATACCAGCAGTGTTGCTTATCAGTGGAGGTTAGAACCAGATGATAATTTAATCTAAATAAGATCATCTAGGTGTGAAAAGATCCTGGTCTGGATGTTCACTTTTTACTTTGTTTTATGATGTTAGTTTTATTTCAGCCTTAAATCTCTCTTTTTTGTTTTTATAAAGGCCAACTAGTTACTAACATGTGAAAATGAATGCTTCTTTTTATTATTCTCTGGTAAATGAGTAGTTATGTTTACCATCCCAGCCTTTGTGTGGGACAAGAATGTGTCCCGTGTGGTAGATTAGTCTGGGAAAGGTTCTTATTCTTTGGCTTTGTGTATCGTGTTTCTGGATGGCACAGTTACCCTTTTTTGACTCTAATTTGTCCCTGACAGCGAGTCTGCAGTGCAAGATCAACAAGTGTAGCTCTGAATATCTGGCCTCCCCCCTCCACGCTGGACCCAAGAAGGACACCTGCACGGCGCTGCGGGTGTACTACAGCTGTGTGGTCCGGACAGCACGATCCTGCAGGGGTGACCTGTCCTATCACGCCACCCAGCATGGCATAGAGGACCTTATGAATCAACACAATTGCTCCAAGGACGGACCGACATCCCAGCCACGGGCCCGGACCCCGCTCCCTCCTCCTCCACCGCCTCCGGTCCTGACAGACAGCCAAGAACGCTCTGACGGACCTGAGGTGTGCCACTATGAGCGCAGCCTCCCACGCAACACGGCGCCGCCCAACTACACTCACTGCGGCTTCTTTGGGGACCCTCACCTGCGGACTTTCGGAGATGAGTTTCAGACGTGTAAAGTAGAAGGGGCCTGGCCGCTCATCCACAACAAGTTCCTGTCTGTGCAGGTGACCAACTCTCCAGTACTGCCAGGATCTTTAGCCACCGCCACCAGCAAGGTGAGAATCTGTCCATCCTGGGCACCTGTTAGTGTGCTGTAAGCAGGTGGCGCTACAGTTTGAGCGATCCCACTTTTAAATACATCCGTGGAAACATTTCTGCATTAATCACCTTTTTTAAAGCTAAACGGGTCAAATAAAACAAGTGATGCACCGATTCTGGATTTGAGGGCCAATACCAATTTTTTTATTGTACAGCTCTGACCCGCCAATACTGATTTAGCCAGATTTTGATTTATCTCAAATAAATGTAATTGGCAGGTTACATAAAAAAGCTAATCATGCTTATATAGAAGGCTGTGTCTGTTCTGGGGACTAGTCTGACGAGACCCCAGAACATCATCATGTCAGCTCTAGAGCTGATCGCTGAACCCCGAATCTGAACTTTAATTTTCAGGTTGATCGTTCACATATTAAACCAATCATGGTGGACACTGGTGCAGTCTGATTACCAGTTGTTTTTTTGCATGCATCTCCAAAATGCAGTTAGCTCGGCAGAGTTGGGCTAATTAAAATTAACCAGGGATGCACGAAATATCTGCATCAATATCAGTATCGGCTGATGTTAGTAATTTTTTTTTTTACATATTTTGTTTGGTAAGTAAAACTGGGCCGACATTAACAAACAATATTTGTTTTTCACCTAGTAGCCATTTATGTATCAGTTTCAGAAGGGGAGGGGGTGATAATGCATAAGTGTTTGGTCATATGACAGCATTAGAAATAATCTCAGAACTGTAAATGTGTGTGTGTGTGTGTGTGTGTGTGTGTGTGTGTGTGTGTGTGTGTGTGTGTGTGTGTGTGTGTGTGTGTGTGTGTGTGTGTGTGTGTGTAATAAATACTATATTATATATAAATATATATACTTATTTATACATAGGGTGTTTATTGGCAAGAATCTGACAAAATGATACATATCACAATATAGAGAGTTTACAATATCTTGAGATACTAAAAGCCAGATGATACGTTTATGTTTTTGACTGAACTGAAATGAAAAACTCAGGCCAGATGTGTCAAGTGTTATCGCAAGATTTTGTTGCTCTATCAGAGTGAAGGTGGTAAAAACTGCTGCCACCTAGTAGTCAGGGTTTGAACTGCGCCACGCAAAAGAATCAGTAAACATTTGCGTGTAAATTCTCAATATAAATTTGATACACTGCTTTTAAATATCAATTCAGTATCATTACATAAAATATCAATATTTCTGTGTATTGCTACTTTCTTTCAGTCCTTCTTATAAAAATGTAATATCGGTTATCGGGTTTAACTGTGATATTAATATCGTATATCGGCCCACATTTTCATATCTGCAATTAACAGTTAATCGTATAATCGCAGTGATTTACACGATTTTCTCTATTTTCATTTTCTTAAAACAACAAACCGATTGTTTGCCCTGTTTCGGCGTATTTTGAACTATCAATCAAATGATGAAATTAAGATTTTTTTGTGAAAATTTTTTAAACAATTGTCATAAAATGTAGCTGTCCATGTTTTGGTTTGCGTGCGAGTCTCCTCTTTCGTGTGGTCAGACTGTAAGCGCTGCAGTGAGTGGAACTGCTTTTCTGTCAAACTGTGGGTTCTGGTTAGTGTTTGGATCGGTTCCATAATAACAGATCGAGGCGTCCGACCCAGAAAAATCACTAAGATCCTTGATAAGCTCTACCAACGACACCGGCGGAGCGTCGAATGTTAACAAAGAGGCTCTGCTTTCACTTTAGCTCTGCCTGATGTTTGTGCTGCTCGGTCCATTACTGTCTACGGGAAACTTTCACATCTTTATCAGCAGAACGGTTTAGATGTTTTTTAGTAGAAATTGGCCTGGATTTGCTCCAGCAGTGAATGTGAAGCACTTAGGAGGTATAAAAGAACTTAATCACATTTGTAGAAACTGTAATTTTCTATAATCAGGGTTTCTTAATGACTCATTAAACATTTGTGTTATTTAGCTTTTAAAGTAATTACCTTCTTTTAAAAAGCTATTCTTGGAAGCACATGAGAGGCTTTTTTTAGTGCACAAGACTGTGGACAAAAGAGGAAACAAAGCAGCAGCAAGTGGCACCTGTGCAAACACGGCTCTGGTGGTAAAAGATGTGCTGCTGGGTAGAGTCCTCTCTCTGTGGCAGATTAATTCAGACGGGGCCATCACAGGAGCTGTTGTCCTCTATTATTTGTTTCATCCAGTCACTTTTTAAAGAAACGAGACAGGAAACAGAAGCTGAGGGAGGTGTGTGAAGGGACGGGGCTGGTTTGACACAGACATCAGAGTACGTGGCTTGGTCCTGTGACAATGGCTCCTTGGTGTCCCGTGTAACCCAGCTCGGAGAGTCCTGACCAGTCCCACTTAATTAGCTGCAGAGTATCTCGCTGTGTCCTGGCCCCGCGCCACTCCCCGGAGCATAGTTCTGGGGGTTCACAGGCAGGTTTTCCAGCGCTATGAATAGATCGTCTTTGTGTCTGCAAACTGAGGCCTGATTTTACATGGCCTGGACTCGTGTTTTTGGAGGGCGTTTACCTTGGCCTCCCCCCTCGTTGAGCCAGCCCTGTAATGTGACACTGGAGTGGGGTAGAAGGGGGGCTGAGGTGGCACGTATAGCACAAACTTGTTCTCAGTGACAAGATGAAAAAAATCTTCTCTTTTATTACGTGTTTTAGTCGTGAGTTCATGAATGCTGCTTTCACTTAGTTCTGAAGGCGAACACGTCTGATGTTTGGTGCTGCTCTCTCCTCCTGCAGCTGACGATCATCTTCAAGAACTTCCAGGAATGCGTGGAGCAGAAGACGTACCACGCCGAGACGGACGAGCTGCCTGCTGCGTTCGCCGACGGCTCCAGAAATGGTGGCGATCCAAACGGAGTCAGCACCCTGCGAGTGGTGGAGAAGGTGCCCGGGCAGCACGTGGAGATCCAGGCCAGGTATATCGGGACAACCATTGTAGTCCGGCAGGTGGGCCGCTACCTGACCTTCGCCATTCGAATGCCAGAGGAGGTTGTGAATTCGGTGGAGGAGGGTGATAACCAGGACTTGTACTTGTGTCTTCATGGCTGCCCCGCCAACCAGCGCATCGACTTCAGGAGTGTTAGAACCAGAGCGGGGGAGGCTCACAGCACGGGCAGGCCAAGGAGCAGCTCTGGGACGCAAGGCTTCACCTTCAAGTCCGCCAAGGCCAAGTGTAAAGAGCGGCTCCCAGTGGAGGATCTGTACTTCCAGTCCTGTGTGTTTGATCTGCTGTCCTCTGGAGACATTAACTTCACCATGGCCGCCTACTACGCCTTTGAGGATGTAAAAATGCTCCACTCAAACAGCAAGAGATACCACATCTTTGAAAAAGATGCTTTAAGCGGCGCAACACGAGAGGGCAAAAATGTACTGCTGGTCTTCCTCCTGAATGTCTTAGCTGTCCTATTGTGGACGGAGTGCTGCACAATCCATCTATAGTCGGTTTACAGCAGTGTCTTCCTGCCTTTAATGTCAGTCTGTGTCATTTCCCAGCCTCTCGCATCTGTTCTGCCTCTTGATGACTGGAGGTTTCACCCGTAGGTCAGTGCTGCCTCAAGTCTTATTTCAGTCGTCTAGTCTCATCCTGACGTCAATACAAAGACGGGCTCACCACCTATCATCACGTGTATTTAACTGGTTTTAATCTTTGAAGAGGGCAGCAGTGGGAGAGCTCTGGATATCCACCTGGGATTAAATCCCACACTCTCATCAGGGCTGCGTGCCTGTGGGAAAGCCGGACAAGATGATCTTTTGCAGAAAGAGGGGTTCGCTGATCCTCCCTTCTCCTGATCCGCACATTGGTGCCGAGCCAGGGAAGCTCTCTGTGGCTCATGTGGCTGAGCAGGAGGACCTGACAGAGGCTTTTGTTAACCTTTTAGGCCAGAAGCAGCTCTATGTTTGATTAGCTTCCAGCTTTGGAAAAGCCCGAGCCTTTCTGGAGGAAGCATCCAGCCAAAAGGATGTCATAGCAGCGTCTCCAGTTGTCTGCTGTGGAGATTAATGGGTCATATTGTTAGGTTTGTGTGTGTGTGTGTGTGTGTGTGTGTGTGTGTGTGTGTGTGTGTGTGTGTGTGTGTGTGTGTGTGTGTGTGTGTGCGCGTGTGTGCGTGCGTGCGTGCGTGCGTGCGCGTGGAATATGTGTGCAGAATCTTGCATCAGTGGTTGATTTTGTGTGTTTGTAAGTGCAGGAATTCCCTTATATATATGTATGTATGTATGTATGTATGTATGTATGTATGTATGTATGTATGTATGTATAGGGAGAAAAAAAAAAGAAACTCCAGTGGGAGAAATTTTTCTCATGTCTTTGTGCTGCACCCAAAATTTAGCCGAAGCTCGGATTTGGGCCAAGTGTGAACTAATCTAACCTCGATCGGCCAATCAAACTCTTTATAATGAACCCAAGCTGTACAGCGATGCGGGTTCCGGTGTTTCTGCCGTCAAAGACGTCACCTCTACCTGGTTAAGCATTTACAGACTTCCATTGTAGCGGGCTGACCCGAGTCTCTGTGGCTAAACAATATGTCTGGAAACATGCTTTCATGGCTTCAGTCGCTTGCCAAAGAACGCGCTCTTGTGCCAACATTTGCCTGACGAGTACATTTCCATCTCCTACCCTCAAACATTAGGACTTAGTTGTATATAACTCATGTTTGTTGGTGATTTCTCGCCGCGTGATGACGCAATACCTTCACCTTTTCTTGTGTTTGGTGTTCTCTCTCTTCCCCCTGCTGAGATACGTTTGGTCTTCCCCGGTAGACGCAGTTTTAAGATCACTTATCGATTACACTGAAGTGCACGGCAGAGTTATGCATAAACAGTCCTACAAACAGCTGATTGTGACTTTAGATATACTGTGTGTTTTAACAGTAAATGGTTGTACTATGTGAGATTGTACATACGTTTTGTGGAGTTGTGTTGAAATTTTGTATCTCACCTGTTGTGTTTTGAATTCACCACTCCAGTTTTTGTACACAAAAAGAGAATCTTTCAGTGAATGTGAGCCTTTTATGTTTTCTTTTTAAAAAAAGGGACTTTTAATTTGAATTTTTTTTAAATTGTTTTCAACAACATGAACGCCACAGAACAGATCAGTCTCCACTGTTATTGGTGAATCGATGACACACACTTAAAAAAAAACAACCCACCTTAACTCGGAAAAAGAGAATGTAGGGAAATGTTTTAGTGGCGCTCATGTTTTTGAGTTTAAAGCACTTTATGTTTTTTATTCAGCTGTTTTTGTTTTGAGCATGTGTTGGTTAAAAAGAGTAAAATAAAAGGCTGAATGGGAAAAGCAAGAAAGATCAAACAGTTTAATGTAAATATCATGTGGTCCCTCATGCCAGCTGTTGGTATTGTAAGTTATTTATTGAATAAAAGACAACATCATGTGAATGAGCTGCTGCCTGTGTCTCCTGCATCTTTAGAACAAAATCAGTTTTTTTTATAACTTGCAGTTTTTTACTGCCCCCTGGTGGACCTTTGTGTTAAAACAAAAATTAAGACTCCTTGAAGAATTGAACATTTATATATACACTGTTCAAAAAATAACAATAAAGGGAATACTTCAACAACACAATGTAACTCTATGTCAGTCACACTTCTGTGATATCAAACTGTCCACTTAGGAAGCAAAACCGACACAATCAGTTTCACATGCTGTTGTGCAAACGGAAAAGGCAACAAATTATAGGCAATTAGCAAGAGATCCCCAATAAAGGAGTGCTTCTGCAGGTGGTGACCACAGACCACTCCTCAGTTCGTATGATTTCTCGCTCATGTTTTGGTTCACTTATGAGTGCTGGCGGTCCTTGCACTCTAGTGGCAACATGAGTCTACAACCCACACAAGTGGCGCAGGTAGCGTCCAGAGCATGGAGGCGCTACCAGGAGACAGGCCAGTACATCAAGAGATGTGGAGGAGGCCATTGGAGGGCAACAACCCAGCAGCAGGACTGCTACCTCTGTTTTTGCACAAGGAGGAACAGGAGGAGCACTGCCAGAGCCCTGCAAAATGACCTCCAGCGGGCCACAATGCATGTGTCTGATGAAACGGTCAGAAACAGACTCTGTGAGGGTGGTTTGAGGGCCCAACATTCATATGTAGAGTTGTGCTTACAGCCCAACACCGTGCAGGATGTTTAGCATTTGCCAGAGAACACCAAGATTGGCAAATTGGCCACTGGTGCCCTGTGCTCTTCACAGATGAAAGCAGGTTCACACTGAGCACATGTGACAGACATGACAGAGTCTGGAGATGCCATGGAGAGCTGCAATATCCTCCAGCATGACTGATTTGGCAGTGGGTCAGTTATAGTGTGGGATGGCATTTCTTTGGGGGGGCCTTCCATGTGATCGCCAGAGGTAGTTTGTCTGTCATTAGGTACCGAGATGAGATCCTCAGACCCCATCTGCTGGTGCGGTTGGACCTGCGTTCTTCCCCATGCAAGACTCATGTGGCTGGAGTGTGTCAGCAGTTGTTGCAAGACGAAAGCATTGATGCTATGGATTGGTCCCATCGTTCCCCAAGCCTGAATCCTATTGAGCACATCTGGGACATCATGTCTCGATCCATTCACCAATGCCAAGTTGCACCACAGATTGTCCAGGAGTTGGTAGATGCTTTAGTCCAAGTCTGGGAGGAGATCTCTCAGGAGACCATCTGCCACATCATCAGAAGCATGCTCAGGCATTGTAGGGAAGTCATACAGGGAGATGGAGGCCACACACACTACCGATACTCATTATGAGTTGTTTTAAGAGCATTACATCAAAGTTGGATCACCCTAACCCTAACCCTCCAAATCCAGACCTCCATGGTTTGATAAATTTGATTTCCATTGATAATTTTTCTGTAATTTTGTTGTCAGCCCATTCATCTATGTAAGAAAGAAAGTATTTAATAATAATATTTCATTCAGATCTAGCATGTCTTATTTTTGTGTGCCCTTTATTTTTTGCAGTGTAAATAATTCTTTTAATCCAACAATTTCACTTACTAGTAGAACATTTGCAGTTTGTATTAATCAAGCTCAAAAAGCCTGAGATTCTCTAAACATACATAGTGTTTCTAGAATAATAGGTCTGTTATTTTAAAGCGATTTAAAGTGATGGTTTGGAATGATTTATGTCCATCCATCCATTTTGTTCCACTTATCCAGAGTCGGGTCGTGGGGGCAGTAGCCTAAGTCGAGAGGCCCAGACTTCCCTCTCCCCAGCCACTTGGGCCAGCTCCTCCGGGGGAATCCCAAGGTGTTCCCTGGCCAGGTGAGAGACATAGTCCCTCCAACGTGTCCTGGGTCTACCTTTAGGTCTCCTCATGGTTTGACGTGCCCATAAAACCTCATCAGGGAGACGTCCAGGAGGCATCCTAACCTGATGCCCAAGCCACCTCAGCTGGCTCCTCTAGATGTGAAGGAGTAGTGGATCTACTCTGAGCCCTTCCTGGATGACCAAGCTTCTCACACCTTCTCCAAGGGAGAGCCCAGACACCCTGCAGAGGAAACTAATTTCGGCTGCTTGTATCCACGATCTCGTTATTTCAGTCACTACCCAAAGCTTGTGACCAAAGGTGAGGGTAGGAACGTGGATCAACTGGTAAATCGAGATCTTTGCCTTCTGGCTCAGCTCTCTCTTCACCACAACAGATCGGTACAATGCCCACATTACGGCAGACCAGATGCAGCACCAATCCACCCATCGATCTCATGCTCCTTCTTTCCCTCACTCATAAACAAGACCTCGAGATGCTTCAACTCCTCCACATGCGGCAGGACCTCTGGCCTGCCAGACTTGTCCTCTGTTTAATTCTGCACAGAGTAACTCACAGGCAGAGAGGCACATGAGGGACGGGACTAGGCACCTCAAAAATAACCAATCGGAAAAAAGACGGAAATGCTGACTGTACGGCGTGGAGCTGTAGTTTTTTATCTGTAGTAAAAAAAAAAAGGTGTGTGGCAACAGCGCAAACATCTTTCTTTAGAAGAAATGCTTTTAGCGCTTCTACTTGTTTTAACCCTCCCACTGTCCTAATGGGTGTGACCGCGTGAGGATAGTTGACCATTGAGCAGGGTTGATGGTTTATCCCTTGGGTCCATGTAGCAGGGGTAAGGAGTGAGCACCACTTCACCCCTGCCATGTGGATCTCAAGGGAAAAACCATCATTCCTGCTCAATGGTCAACTTTCCTTGCAGGGTCACACCCATTAGGACAGTGGGAGGGTTAAAGACATTCAAGTGATTTAGAACAGAGGAAAGAGCCGCAGCGAACTCCGCCGCTGTCTTCGTTGTTTATGAGAAACTGAGCATCGCTGTGTGGGACATATGCAACGCTGTAGTTTTTTTGCTTTTGTCCAAAATGGAGACTGGCGACAGCGCAAACATCTTTATTTAGAAGAAAGGCTTTTAGCACTTCTACTTGTTTTAAAGACGTGTCCAAGTCATTGAGAACAGAGGAAAAAGCCGCAGTGAACTCCGCTTCAGTCGCCATGTTCGACAAACTCGGCGTCAATGGTGTGTGACGTACACTAATCAGCGCTGATTGGCTCGGTTAGAATTCTCACGGGGTGGGGTTATTTGAATAGGAGAGTTCCCAGACCCTTTCTCTGTGCAGAATTAAACAGAGGAGGAGTCTGGCAGGCCAGGCTATGTAGTTAGAACACTCCTTTATAAATGACACCACCATCCCAGTCTGCCAGTCTATGTTTATGTTTATTTATTTAGCAGATGCTTTTATCCAAAGCGACTTACAATTTATAACCTACAGGGCATGTTGTGATCTGTAGGGGAAACCGGAGTACCCGGAGGAAACCCACGCATGCATGGGGAGAACACGCAACTCCACGCAGAAAGGCCGCAGCCGAGTTTCGGACCTGCGACCTTCGTGATGCGAGGCAACAGTGCTAACCACTGCGCCACCATGCAGCCCAGTCCAGTGGAGCTGCCCCAAATGTCCACGCGATATTGCAGAGTCGCGTCAGCCAACACAGCCCTACGGAACTCAAGGCAGTCCCCAGACTCTGCTTCCTCACTGGAAGACATGCCGATGGGACTAATGGTCTTTGAAGTACTCCGCCCACTGTTCCAAGTCAAGGTCCGCAGCACACTGTCCCCACTGTAAACAGTGTTGGTAGTGCACTGCTTTCCCCTCCTTAGATGTCGAATGTTGGACCAGAATGTCCTCGAAGATGTGCGGAAGTCTTGCTCCATGGACTCGCTGAACTCTTCTCAAGCCCGAGTTTTTGCCTCCACAACCACCCGAGCTGCTTTCCGCTTGGATTGACAGTACCTATCAGCTGTATCTGGAGTCCCACAGGCCAAAAAGACCTGATAGGACTCTTTCTTCAGCTTGAAAGCATCCCTAACTGTCAGTGTCCACCAGTGGGTTCGAGGGTTACCACCACAACAGGCACAGACGACCCTGTGGCCACAGCTCTGGTCGACCGCCTCAACAATGGAAGCACGGAACAGGACCCATTCAAGACTCAATGTCCCCCACCTCCTCCGGAACATTTTGGAAGTTCTGTCGGAGGTGGGAAATGAAGCTCCTTCTGACAGGCGACTCTGCCAGACATTCCCAGTAGACTCTCAATACGTTTGAGCCTTCCAGGTCTGACCCGCATCCTCCCCTGACTGCACCTAGTTTGGTGCATAAGCACAAACCACAGACAAGACCCACCCCCCCACTCATAGGCGGAGGGAAGTGACCCTCTCATCAGGGGTGGACTGGGACCAAAATTTAGCCCTGACATTTTAATGAACCGTCGGCCCTCGGCAGGGGAGGTTGCTGCTTGCGACTCGTCTATCCCGCCAAATGTGGGGGAGGGACGGGTTGTTGTGTGTGCTGCTCCCGGACTTGTCTCTATAACCGCATATGAGACGGGGGCTTGGTTTGGGATGGCCCAAGCTGGGCAAGTGGTCCACTTGGCTAAGCGGCCCACCGGGACAGTGCCAGAATGCCTGATAGGCCAGTCCACCCCTGCCTCTCATTCACCTAGGGGAAACGCCAACGTACAGGCACCAAGGTGGGGGACAACTAGAACGCCCTCATCAATACACCTGGGCCTTTTTTTCAAGGCAATTTGCCTTTTTTTAAATAGAAGAGCAGAATACAACTGAACATAATGGAAATGGAATAGGCCAGTCATCTGACCGCTAATAAAAACTAAATGGAAAAAAAAATTAAATTAATAATGCAAGAATAGAGAAAAAATTAATGACAGAGTAGAGAAAAAAATAAACAAGACATTTATTTCCATATTAATAGTGGCCAAGCAGCAAATTGATGCTTATTTGTCAGAAAGTGAACTTAAATTTTCAAGGATTTTCAGGATAAATTTGCTTCTTTGGACATTGGTGTTGCATTAAACTTTAGATAAGATTATATGAAAAATGGTAAGAGAAAAAAAAAACATTTCCTCTGTAAAAATCTAAAAAAAAATTCTCTGTCAAAATAAAACATTTTGTTGTGTAACAAAGTTTTATTACATATGTCCAAACATATGTACAGCACATTTCTCACAAATACTTGTTTTCCACAAATATAAATTATTTAGAACTTCTTACAGAACATATATTACAGGAACTTTAGTTTGCTTTAGGTGGGTGAAAAGAAGAGCTGGCTGTTGACAAAGTAACCAGAAGGGCCCGAGACAAAACACACAATTTCCTTTTATATAATCCCCCCCCAAACGACCAGTTCCTTCAGGAGTAAATAAAAACACAGATGGATGATTGACTTTATTTAGTCATGTTTCAACTGAAAGAAGAGGCAGATTTGGCACAAGGAGGCTTGATATAACATCTACCCTCTCCTTTCAATAACTTTTTACCAGAACTATGTTGGTTTCTTAGCTTTTCCAGACAAGCGCTGACTTTAAATTAAGTAATCAACCCTTCCTCTTGACCACAATAACACTGAGAGGAATCAGAAAAGGATTGCTCTGGTAGGTAGTGTTGTGAACCTCAGCAAAAGTGGTGATAATAATAAATACTGCTTCCATAGTTTCCTTAAGGCCAGAAGATGAGTAAAGTGGTTAAAGTGAGCAGAGCGGGAGGACTGTAATGATTTCTACAGCTACAGTTGTGAATGTTAAAACCATCAGTCAGATCACAAACACTGGCTTTGTTTGATCACATTTCCAGTATTTTTTTTATCCATTCAGCTACATGATCAAAACTTTTCAAAAGGTGCAAATGATTAACACATTACACATTCTAGTTGTTGTACCAAGAACCTTCTACTGACATCGTTTTCAATACTTAAAGCTAAACAAAACACAAAGAAACGTCCGTGTCATGGATCTGTACGTTTACCATTCCCAAGACCGATACTTTCAGGCACTTTTAGGATTGGGATCAGTTTTTGCCTCGACTTTCCTTCCAATAGTCCATGGGACTAAGCATCTGATAGGCGTTTCACTCAGAACATAAATAACTGATGAACCAGTTAGTTTAAGTTAAAGATGCAAGTTTCAGTTTTTGTTTTCCATGAAACAAATTTCTTCCTTCAGGGTACAAAAGGTTTTCAGCCACGATCACTGGAAACAAGGAGCTCAATAGTTTGCTGGTAAGTTCAGAACGTGTTGATTTCCTTTTTAACAGCTTATGAATGTCAAGGCCACACTTTGTCCAGCAGCAACATGTGGCTCTAATCAGTTTCTGCACCTCAGCTGGTGGACTTTATGTCTTTCTATTGATCCAGTTTGGGTCTGTCATGGCACTGGGTTCTACTGGACGGTCGAGAGGGGAGCGGGAGTCCTGGGGGGACTTCTGAGCCTGTGGGGAGCGGGGGTCCAACAGTGGAGGTGGTTTGTCTGAGTGGAAGGGCCTGCTGAAGTGCTCTGGTCCAGATGGACCTGCTGGTCTGTGATCTGGCATTCTCCTGAAGTCCTGGAGGGGGCCTTCTCTTCCCTGGTGGTAGTTGGTATGGAACTCCTCGGGACGTCTTCGTTTGGGGTCCGAATGTCTGAAAGGGATCATTCAAGACCCGTTATTTTAAAGGGAAATCTCATCCCAGAGCCACTAATGGACTAGTTCTTTCAAAATAAAGTTAATAAAATAAAAGCTCAATTCCATCAAAAGAATTACCAATTAAGCAAAAGCCTTTATTTCCCTGAAAATAACACAAGTCTATAATTTCTTCAAAATAAAGTTAATAACAAAAAAAAAACTATAATTCCTTCAAATTAAAGTTAGCAATAAAGTAAAAGCTGAATTCCTTAAAAAAATAACAATGAAGCAAAATACTTTACTACCTTGAAAATAACAAAAACCTATAATTCCTCTTTGGCATGTTCTTGCAGTGTTTAGTGTCTAACTGCATTTTCGGTTCCTTTTTAAAACCCAGAAAAGGTTTCTTTTTACCTTGCTGACAGTTTTGTTTACTTCCTCAGAGCTGACGCTGACGGTGGCGTCACTTCCTTGTCCGTTTATCCGCGGGCAGCAGAGGACGCTCGCGGATAAACGGAGAAGGAAGTGACACCACCATCATCTGAGGAAGTTTACAGCCGGTAAATAAAACTGTCAGCAAGGTAAAAAGAAACCTTTTCTGGGTTTAAAAAAAAGAACACAATTCCTTCAACATAGAGTTAGCCAAAAAACAAAAGCCTATAATTCCTTCAAAATAAAGTTATCACAAAAGCCTATATTACCTTTAAATTAATAAAGTAAAAGCTGAATTCCTTAAAAAAAAGAAAAAAATTACCAATGAAGCAAAAACCTTTAGTTCCTTCAAAATAAAGTTATCAATAACAAAACCTAAAATCCCTTCAAAATAAAGTTATTAACGACAAAATTGCCTAGAATTCCTTCAAAATAAAGTTTTCATTTGCAAAACAAAGCCTTTAACTTCTTCAAAATAAAGTTATCAAGAAAAGCCTATCGTTCCTTTAAAATATAGTAAAAGCCTCAAGTCCCTTCAAAATAAAGACCTTGCATTCTTTCAAGAATGTTAGTCCTCTTAATATATTATAGTTTCTCCAAAATACATTTGTGTCCTAAATCCAACAGTCGTTAGCTTCTTTCAGCCCCGGTCTCACCAACTCACCTGTCGTAGTAAGGCCGTTGACCCCTGTGGTCCCGGTCGTTGCTGTACTGCTCATACGGCCTTTTCCGAGGGGAGGTGTTGTTGCGGTAACCACCGGAGCTGCGATACGTGTCTCCGTGTGAACGCCGATCACCGTAGTGATCCTTGTAGCGATGAGGGTCATACGGATGGTGCCGGTCTCCCTGCCACAACTGGTTGCTGTTTCCTGGGTAGTTATATTTCCGGTCCCTCTGCCAGTCGCCCCCCCGGTCTGTAAAAAAAATATATAGTGAAATAAAAAAAAAAATTAAATTAAATCATGTTTCAGAAATCAGAAAGCTGTCCTTGAGTTTTAAGTGAACACACACCGTTACTGCCAAAGTGCCTCTTGTTAGCAGCATTGTACGGTTCTCTGTGGTGCCCGTGGGGTCCGGACAGGTGAGACGGGGGTTTGGAGGAAGGCTGATTTCCTGAGGAGTCTCGACTAGAACCAGAAGCTTCAGGTCGGAATGATTTTATTCTTCCTGATACATCCTCTTTCTTCTTCTGCTCCTTCTGGAGAGACAAGAATCGTTTGAGAGATGATAATCTGTGGCAGATCGCTCCACGTCGCCTCCCATCAGCTCACCTCTTCCTCATGGGACCTCTTCTTCTGTGCCATTTTGTAAAGCTTGTGAAGCTTCCTTGCGCTGAACTCCGTAAACTTGGACACAAAAATCCAAAGATTCCTGACAAATAAAGTTTATTAAAGGTATAAAATTAATATGCCAATACAAGGTGGAACGGCGGATATAATTCAGCTAAACCCCGTATTACCTTCGCCATATCTTCACATGTTCGGGGTCACTGTAGGCTTTAAGGCACTCGGTGATCCTGTCTCCGATCTTCAGCAGGCAGGTGCGCGTGTGCTGTAGCTGCTCCTGGTCCGACAGTCCCTCGTCTGGCTTGTCCAGCTGCTTCAGGGCCTTTTTCACCGGCCTCATGCGCTCCTTACACTGCACACACGCAAACACTCATGACGTCTTCTAGATGTCAAGATTTATGTTTAGGAAGAGAAAACTCTGGGAAATCTCACAATGCTGAAGGTCTCCTGGTCCAGCTCATCGTCCTCCTTTCCTTCGATGGGAATGGGCTCAGAACCGGCTGTGATGTGGACTGGACCTTGAGCTTTCTTCCCTTTGGCTCCTTTAGCCTAAAAGACAAACAGGTTAAATATGATGCATCAAAAAGGAAAATGGCGTCCATCAGTGCAGAGCAGCTCAGACGTACCCTCTCTTTCCTGGGCTTGGGGGCCTTCTTCTCTTTGTCTCCCTCCTTCTCCTTTTTGGCTGTTCCCTGTTTTTCTTTGTTCTCTTTGTTGTCCTTCTTCTTTTGTCTTTTCTTAACCGCCGGTTTTTCTGTCCCATCGTCCTGCTCAAAACACAATAAAGCAGCCGGTCAAACCATCTGGAGGAGGACAGAAGTGATGTTCCCACACGGACGATGACGTTTTCAGCGAGAAGAGGACTGACCCTGACCTCGCCCTCCTCTGACGGGTTATCAGAAAGCCGTGGGGAGGAGATTTTGGTGCCCTGATCGTCTTTGAGAAGCTTGTCCTTTTTCACTCGAGGCTTTCTCTTCTTCACCTTGACCTTGGGGGAAAACAAATAAATAAATAAACAAATGAGTTAAAACAGACACTAAAACTGAACAAAACTCCCCCAATTAATCAGCAATGTACCTCCTCTCCTAGTTTAGAAGCAGCATCGCTGTCCTGCTCCTTCTTTAGCAGCTTCAGCAGGTACTCTGCTCTCGCCTGGAGCTGCTTGGCCTGAGGTTTCTTACTTGGATCGTCTGGAAGAATCTGTTCAGAAAAGCCTCGATTAGGCAGTTTCAGGCAGCACGTTTGAATCGGTGAGAGCTAAAGTAGGTAAATATTTGCCTTATCAGCAAGTTTGAGGTCAGGGTCAGTCTTGATCAGATCCCAGTTTCCAAAGCCATGCTCGTAGATGCCGAGGAGGAGCTGAACGTCATCCTGCAGATCCCAGTCTATGTCAAAGTGAGCTACTTTAGCTCTGCAAGTTAGCGTGAACCTAAAAGGAGATAAAGTGTTTAAGGGAATCACTAAATCCTAGCAAGGGTCTTGTGTTTTACATTTAAGGTTTCCTACTTGCTCCTCTCAGCAGGGGTGGAGGGCACGGCCTTGTGAAGAGGTTCAAACTCGTCCTCGTGCTGGATGATGGACTTGGCGTTGACCTGAACCCCGGAAATCTTGATATTGATTCCTCGTCGTTTCCCAGGACCTTTGGCTGGAACAACACCGGCTACTTTTAAACGGGAACTTTATTTTGGCTAAGGTTTTCTAACCAAGAGGCAAACTGAACCTACCTTCAACTGGGTTTTCTTTGAGCTGCTCCTCGTGTTCCTGCACCGCCGTCACACAGCTGGAGTGAATCAGTTCGCCAAGTCTCTTCAGGTCGGCGATGGACTTGTCCACCAGCTCAGAATCTCGAGCAATGGCCTCCAACCTGAAGACGAGGAAGTCAAACGTGTTTCACAGGAAACAACCGTCTAAGCTTTTGAAATACGAGTGAGGAAACACCGACCTTTCCAGAGGACAGCCAAACTTCTTGTAAGCCTTAATGAACCTGTTAATGTGAGCAGAAATATGGTTCAGTTGTGCTCGTGCAGCTTAATCCCACTTCTTTTATCAAAACGGAGAGCCATCTGGATCGTTTACCTGCGTATCTCTACATCGGTGAAGCCCTCCACGTTGTTTTTGCGAGCTCGAGGTCTCCCCCTTTTCTTCGGTTTCTTGTCGTCATCGCTGTCGTCGGTCTCGCTGTCTGAGCCGGATGAGCGGTGCTTCAGCTTCGAACCGACGTCGCTATCGCTATCATTGGCCTGAGCCTGGAGGACAAAGGAGCAGAACTAGAGGAATCAGAGCTGATTGGTTCTGGAGATGCGTTTGTCTGGCAGAACAAGGGAAGGAACTTTTACCCGCTTGTTGGAACTCCTGCTTCTGGGCAGCATGAAAATGTCCTCCATCTCCCGCTGCTTCTCCTCTTCCTCAATCTTCCGCCGCTGTTCCTCAGGAATGATGTCATCCCATTCCCGCACGGGCCTATCCTCAAACTCTGGAGCCGGTTCTTCCATGCTGGAGAAGTTAGCGACCTGCAGTGGAGAACGGCAGAGACATCAGGACTGAACAGAGGACGTAAAGAAGCTTTGTGTGAAATCTGTCGAGGAACCTTAAACTGCGACAGAAGCTCATCTGTAGCACTTGAGCCTTGATCACTTTCTCTTGTTTCAGCCAACCTCAAGATCTCGTCGATATCCATCTCCTACAGAAACCAACAAGCTTTGCTTTAGTCACATCATCACGCAAAAACAAAAAACAGTTAACAGGATTTCATTCCCAATGCAATACCTGAGGTTCTGACTCTTCTCCTTCTGCCTCCTTAAAAAGATCTTCTGCTCCAAATTTGAGAATCGCCGTCAGTTCTTCCTTATTGAAAGGGTTTGAGCTGTTAAAAAAAAAAAAAAAATTACAGTTACAGATATAATAAGCAGAAGCTGTCGAAAAGAAGCCACCGGTTTGATAAAGTCTTACTTTGAGGTTCCGGAGCTGTTGTCCAGAACCGTTCGTCCTGTGGTGTCCATTCTCTGAATTACCAGATGGTCTAAAACCATCTTCTTCTTGGCCCGCTCGATAATGTCCTCCTCCACCGTTCCTTTAGTGACGAGTCGATAAATGTTCACCTGTAAAACAGCACCACGTGAGTTTATCTGAATGATACACAACTCCTCGCTGTGAGCGGGAGTCTCGTGTCACCTGTTTCTTCTGTCCGATGCGGTGAGCTCTGGCTTGTGCCTGCAGGTCATTTTGAGGGTTCCAGTCAGAGTCGAAGATGACAACGGTGTCTGCCGAGGCCAGGTTGATGCCCAAACCTCCAGCTCTGGTGGACAACAGGAAGCAGAAATCCTACAAAAAGAAGGAAATGTTTTAGGTTTGTAAGAATCAAGTTCGGTTTAAACCGCTGGTTTCCGTACCTCTGAGCCTTCTGCATTGAAGTGGTCGAGTGCTTGCTTTCGGATTTCTCCCTTTATGGAACCGTCCAGCCTCTGGAAATAAAAAACATTCAACGTGACACGTTTATCCTTCAAAGATCTCCCGGAAAGCCATCTGCTCCACCCGTTACATTCTTCTGCTCTACGCCATCACTGCTCTAAACAAGTCAGCAAAAACAGCCCAGAGTCGGGTCAGTAGAAGAACACCAGCCGGTCCGCAGCAGCAAATAACTTGTTGATATAAATAAACGCATGAACTCTAAGCCAGCGTGCTACAAGGCTGACATCTGATCTTCATCTGAGACTAATCAGCTCGGACTCCAAAAGGCCCTTCGGTGTAGAACGGGGCATTAACCCAGGAGCAAAATGAAGCTAAACATCAAAGCTGAGCAGCCCTCACCTGAAACGGATATCGCTTCTTTGTGAGATATTCAGCCAGAATGTCCAACATCCGGACCATCTGGGAGAAAATCAGGACTCTGTTGCCTCTTTCTCGGAGTCGGGTCAGCAGCTTGTCCATAAGAACCAGTTTCCCGCTGCCCCTCACCAACGCCTGTGACAGATTTATTTATTTTTGTTAAAGTACATAATAAGATAATGCAAAAACAAAAATTGTGTGTTCTTTGTAAATTCGTTCCTGCAGCAGCACTTCTCCAGCAGACATACCTGCAGGTTTTCCTGCTGGTTTTCCGATTCTCCCTCCTCGGGATGCTTAATAAGAAAACCGTGGTTGCAGCACTTTTTCAGCTCCATCACAATGTTCAGGAAGCCGGAGGAGCTGCCGCGGGTTCCTTTGGAGAGAGCTTTGTAGTTTCTTGTTAAAATCCACCTGGAGGAGGAGAGATAGGAAAAACAGCCATTTTAACTTGGGATTTCTCTAAATATAGGAAATGTTAAAAAAAAAAAAGCAACCAAAAACATACTTGTAAAACTGTTTCTGCTGTGCACTCATGTCAACACGGAGGATTTGCTCCACCTTTGCAGGGAGAGACTTCTCCACGTCCTTCTTGACTCGACGGAGCAGGAAGGGCTCGAGGACCTTGTGAAGACTCTGATATCCGTTGTCTCTTCCTTTTCCGTGATCGTCCTCGAAATCCTCCCAGGAATCAAACCTTGGGTGCAGAAACACAGAAATCAGAATGACAACGGAGGAGTGATGGGCTTGTGTTTGGTGCGGCTGTAAATCCGTGCAGCAGGACGTACTTGTCGGGCATGAGGAAGTGTAATAAGGACCAGAGCTCTTTGAGGGAGTTCTGCAGAGGGGTGCCGGTGATGAGGAGTCTGTGGTTCGACCTGAACTCCATGAGTGATTTGTAAAGCAGGGAGTCATCGTTCTTCAACCTGTGAGCCTCGTCCACACCCAGAAAAGCCCAGTTAATGTTCCCAAGGACGCCCTACAGGTAAAGGATGTGACACGGTTAGCGACTGATCCCACTCATGTCCCAAAACAGAAACCTATGGACGTTAAAGCCCACCTTGTCTTTGAGGAGAATCTCATAGGTGGTAAGAAGTGCATTGAAACGAATCCTTTTGGTTTGATGGTTCACCCACTCATAATCACGGATCTAAACAAAACAAGGTCACATTTAAGGCGCAGAAATTAAATCAACATCAACAAAAACTCGTCCAAATCCAACTCACGGTTTTCCTGCTCATGACGTCACCGAGGTAGACGACCACATTCATGTCTGGGGCCCAGTTCTCAAACTCCCTCTGCCAGGAGGTGAGCGTGGACAGAGGAACCACCAGCAGGAAGGGTCCGTAGAGCTGGTGCTGGTGGAACAGGTAGGACAGGAAGGAGATGGTCTGGATGGTCTTACCCAGTCCCATCTCATCAGCCAGGATGACACTATTACACCTGAGGGAATTTTGTTTGTTTAAACAAACTGGTTTCTTTGTTAAATGATTATCCTTGTTGCCATGGTACCTGCACCAGGAGTGGGCCAACCAGTTCAATCCATCCAGCTGATAATCTCTCAGTTCCAGGTTCTCGTCGCCGATGTACGACGGCTGCGTTTTCAGAGCGACGAACCTCGGCCGCTGCTTCAAAACCTGAAACATCAGAGACACATTTCTGGTTTACAAATGAGTTCTGGGAGAAACTGACCCGTTCCGGGTTTCGTAAACACAGTTTGACCTTGCAGTCTTTAGACGGGACCGTCTTGCTGTTGTTGCGGTTTGTGAAGCTGTCGATGCAGTGCTGGAACTTCTTCTTGACCAGAGCTCCATCTTCCCAGCTGCACTCAGAGTACGGCAAACCCATCCACTTACACAAGTACTCGGGCTCGTTAGAGGAGGTCTTGTGACTGTGAGCTGTTTCAACACCAGGACAGAGGATTCACGTTAAAATAAATAAAACGGGCTGTGAACAGATCGTGGAAAATCAGAAACATGACTTACACGGGAAGTCCGAGGACCCGGGTGTCTTTCCTGTTTTTGTAGCTGGTAACGATAACGTTTATTTTTAAAAAGACAGCCAAAGATCACAAAAGAACAAAGACTGTTTGCTTCAGTCTTAAAGTAACAATAAATACTAAATAAACTCACAGATCACTCGCTCCACAATCTGAAACTGCTTGGTTAAGTCGGCCGTGAGCTCCTGCTGGCAGTTATGGAACTCCACGTCCTCGGGGGACGCCCTCCTCAACCTGCACAGAGTCGGGACTTAACCGGGACTTCTAGAGCGCCGGACAGCTGGAATACAAGCCGGATTGAAATGAACCCTCACCACGCGTTCAGCTCGTCGTTTTTCTTTTTGAAGTTGTCTAGTTTTTTCAGCCCTTTGACTTTCTGCTGCGTGAGAGAGTCCATGCTCTCCCAGGTGTTGTGGATGTACGACCAGCCCTTCCACTTGATCAGATACTGAGTCTCGCCTTCGTCTTTCTCTGGATCGAACCCCTCACATGGATCCCCGTTTTCCTCTACGGTATATACCGTGGTGGACGCGCCAGTAGCTACCAGAAACCAAAAACAACCCGCTCACAGACTCGCCTGAAGCTCGTCATCCTGAACAACAAGGAGTAAAGGAAATACCTCCTTTGCTTCCGACTCTGCAGTCAACAACTTTCTCGATGGTCTCACTGTCGTCGTCCTGCTGCTCTTCACCAGCTTCTCCTGTCATTTCTATCAGATCGTCAGAGTCTGTTTCAAAGTCATGTTGGTCCTCTTTATAGCTGGAAGACAAAAGCAGAATTAAACCGTCTAACTTGAAAAAACACATCCCACTTTATTGAAACGTTAAATTTAACAAGAATATGTTAGAAAAATTAAACACAGCTTCTGTGCTTTTCACAGATGCAGATCGTTTTCTTTACAGTTTTAAAAAATGGTGGAAAATTGGTGCACTTGCTGTAATAAATGTTTGAAATATTGATTAAACTGAAGCAGAGATTTATGACTTGAGGGCCAATTTGACGGAAAAAACTGGAGGAAGTTGGGTTTGTAAACGTCTTTAGGTCAATTTTAATTTGAAGGAAAAAAGGAAAGAAAGGAAAGTAAGTTAAATAAATAAACAAATGAAAACCTTCCAATTAAAAAAATTAGGAAAAAATATTTACATTAAAAAGATCTAATCAGAAAATAAATGGAAAACTAAGTAAAAGTGAATAAAACAAATTAAATATAGAGATCAAGTTAGACATAATGAGAAAAGACAAATGTGGTATTTCTAGACTGATTTTGTTCACCAGTTATAAGAACTACTGATATGTTTTATTTCAACAAAACTACTAATATACTTTTATGAACTTTAGAGGTAAAAAAAAATCACCTTTTGATTTTTGTGGCCCCTCTTCTCCGAGTCTGTCTCTTCGGAGTGTCTTCCTCATCATCGTCGTCGTCATCCTCGTCGTCGTCTTCATCCTCATCTTCTGCTGATGATTCTTGTTTCTTCGACTTCCTTCCTTTTTGGGATTGCCTTTTTCTGACTGACAATTTGGCCTGAGGTCTGAACATTAAAGAGAATTAAGCCAATTTCTTAAAAAAAGAAGAAATATTGTTAAACCGTCCCAAAGCAATCAGGTTTTTTAATTCAGATCAAAGCATGAGGGACAAATAACTTCTGACACAACATGGAGTAATCTGGAGACCAGTGGGTAGCTGTCTGATGGCCAGGCTCTGCTACATGCTTACCTTCTAGCAGGAAGTCGTCTGGATCTAACTTTTTTCTCTTCCTGCTCACTGTCTGAACTGTTGGATGTCTCCTCCTCCTCCTCCTCTTCATCATCATTTGAGTCATCTTTCCAGATATTTCTTATAACAAAGAAATGCCACAAGTTCACCCTTTAAAGCCCATCACTGCTTTTTATCCCGGTCCAATTTGCCTTTAGAAACTGGCCCATAAAGGAGCTCAGCGTGACCCAATTGAGAGAAAAACCGGATTCAGATTTTGGTTTGGATGTAGATCATCGCCTGGCTGATAGGCACAAACGTAGCCCATTCAGAGACAAACAGATACCCATTTACACTAAAACAACACTACACGACTACAGTACGGATCAAACACACCGAAATGAGAGATGAGTGTCGGCTGACGAGATATGACGATGTTTAACGAAAGATGGCAAAACGATAAAGACACAGAATCTGGAACTTACTCTTTCTTCTTTAAACGTGAGGATTTTCTTTTAGGGCTCTCGCTCTCAGAGTCGCTGCTCCCCTGAGGAGGAGAGACATTTTAGAGCTCATAGCAGCAACAGCCACTAGATGGCGCACCTGATTTAGTTACACATCTAATAAGGGGGGCATAACAAGACCTTCCTCTGACCTCCCACACCAGCTTACCCCAGCTCCGATGTTAAGGCGAGCCGGTTCCTGTCTGCTGCGATTCGACCTCCTAACTCCGTACACATCTGGATGTTCTTCCCACATCTGTAAACGAAGGTCAGATGGTTACGTTTAAAACAACTGAAGCGCATAATAAAATGAGTAAATGGTCCTTAAATTAATTATTCATATCAGATTTGTGAATCAACTTATGTAAAAACAGTCTAGACTTGACCATTTCTATTATCCAATATACCATTTCTGAAGTTAATCTTAGTAACTTTAATTTTATTTAAATAATTTATTTAACCCATTTAGACTTTCAACTAGTTTATGAATCTTGACTCGTTAAAAATAGAATACTAATAGCTATTAAAATATTTCATTGCAGAAAATGAGAAGTATTTGAGTATCTGACATCAGAGGTATCCATGTCACATCACCAACATTTAAGGTCAGGGGTTTCTCAGAGTGCATTTGTTTGTTTTCCTGGAACGTAAACACTGGAAAGCTGTTTCAGCTAAAGATCAATAGATGTAAAGACACCTTAAACACAATAAACGTCCAGCACGTTGCACCTTCTCAATCACATTTAGAGCTCAGACATAAACCAGGTAAATAAACCCAACGTCAGGTCAGAATCTGTAAGTTGAATCTGAAACAAGTCTCAGTCCTGCAGCCTTTATTTACCTTTTTAACATCAGCTATGCGCTCCTTCTTCTTAACTTGCTTGCCTTTGACTTCTGAAGTGGTTTGCTGCGACTTGGACTCTGCAGACTCGCTCTCTGACTCCGAGTGACTCTCGGACTCTGAGGAGCTGTTAGACTCAGAGTTGTGTGATCTCCTCCTCTCGCTGCCATGTTCGCTTTCCGACTGACTTCCAGACTCCGAGGCAGAGTGGTTGGATTCCTCTGAGGCAGAGTTGCTACAGGGAGAAGAGTGTATTGAATCCCTTTTATTCTGCAGCACACACATTTGAGCTTTTGCCTACACATGATCACAAAGCCATTAATGATGCGAGTGAGGAAGATACTGGAACTTCAAACTGTACAACAAATTAATCTTACATAGTACTAATGAATTGTACTTGTATTGCGCTTTAAAATGTAAAAATCTCAAAGTGCTTAGAAAGTTAGATTTTCTACTTCCCCTACCTTTTGCAAGAATTGCACTTAAGTGTTGTAATACTACAAAACTCGAAGTTTAATAAAAAAAAATTAGAAAAAACTGTCAATATACTGTTCAAAATTTCAACATTTTGTGCCTGAAAAAAAAAATCCAGTCTGAATGATCATTTTCTCTTATTGCAGTTCCACATTTGTACACATGGGGGCACTAGCTGCCACTCAATCTGCAACCTTTATAATCGCTGCCTCCGCATTGGTTGAAAAAAGTTTTTAAAATAAATGTACAACTCAACTATTTCATGTGTTCAACACTACTGTTCTTGTTAAAGTATTCATAATTATACTTCCAAATATCCCTGAATCTTGTTTGCTATTTTTTTGACATAAAACAGAAAATACTTGTTAGATAGCCCATTAAATACAGCAACTCTAGAGAAAAACCATTGTACGTAAAAACGAACTGCTTAACGCGGAAGTAGACGGTGCCTGCCCCTTTAAGAGAATCTAAACGGGCGGGGCATAGCCGCGACCTCAATTTACTATTGGCTGTTAGGTTGCTTGGTAAAGGTTCAGCCAATCACAACGTCTCTCTTTTTTTTAAAGGTCTGAGCTCTTCCTGTTCCTCCTGTGTAGTTTTCTGGGCTGAGTTTTAATACAGATAAGCAAGCTGGGCACACAAATCAAGGGCCATTTTGTGGCTGAGCGTGTGTGGAATTTAAAGTTTACCAGCAAATATTATATTTAAAGTGGTTTCAATTAGTTTTCCTCTTTTTGTTAATCTGAATGACTTCAATGTTCATCTGTGAAAGGAGACGTTTCAGCTGCTGTCTCTGCAGAGGACATTTTTAACTCAGCTCAAAATGCCAAAATGGCTGCCACAAACGCTGAAAAGCACTTTAAAGTACAAAAGTGATGTAACCTGCAGGAAAACGCTGAGAGGATAAGTAATCTAGAATATACATCTTGCATAAATACAAATGCCTGCAGATATATGTTTTACTTTATTTTAAGGACAGGGCAAGTGATGCAAAAATAAATTCAATTATATCAGTGCAAAAACCATTTAAAATAGCAACTCACTTGTGATCTTGCACATCATACAAAAGAAAATATTTATACCTCAAAACATTTTACCCTCTCATTAGGCTTCAAAACTTGAGAAATAATTGTAAAGTCAGCTCATCATCATGATTTGATTTCCAGGTTGATTTACTTATAAAATCTACCTCGATATGAAGTGAAACAATATGGATCTGCAGCAAAAAATACTCGAGATGTTTCAAGCATGCATGAAAATCGTGTCTAATTTGGAATTTATTACACCCTATATCAAAAGTGACATAAAATGACTAAACTGTACAAAATCCTTAAAGGCCACCAAATGAAAAGCTGCTGGTTAACATGTAAAAAAACGTAAGACATAACTTCAAAACACACAAAGTTTAATATTACAGAACCTGCAAAGCAAAAAGTTATTTAAAATCATTACAAGCTTCATGATTGAACAAAACATTTTATTGACTTCAATATCTGCATTAAAAACATGTTTGCACAATTTTGAATCTGAAACTTGGTGTAAACTTTTAAAACACGTTTTTTTAATAAAGCAGAGATTGACATTAAATTTGGAGGTCAATTTTGAATAGCAACTAAAGTTACAAAGAAACTTCAGTATTTTAGTGTCCACATGTGACAACAGTAATACAGTAATGATCAAATAAATGAAACTGAAACATCATTTAAAAAAATGGTGCAATGCAGTCATAACTTGTAAGACAAGGTCAAATAAAAAAAAGGTACTATTAAACAACTGCATCAAGTCGAATAGAGGACAGTTGTCTCCCTGTGGTCTAGTATCTACATCTTGAAAATGTTTTAGAACAGGCCTGAAACCTCAGCAATGAGGCTCAGAAATAGAAGGAAAATCAGGGTGTGGCTATTAAAACAATAGCAAGGTCATCCAAGACACCGGTGAACTTCTTAGAAACCACATCGCAAATGTTGACAAGTGATCAATCATGCTCGAAAAAGTAAACAAAACCAGGAATGGAGAAGGTAAATAAGCAAATGATCATACCTTGAAGCATTGCTTTGAGTCGATCCCTCATCTTCTTGCTTTTTACTTTTGCTCTTCATCATGGTAGTGTCCTAAATATCCGACAAGCAGTATTTTTTTTTTCTGTCCAGGTATTTACTGTCAAAAGTTGGAGGCATGAACCATCACACAAGTCCCTTAGAATCGCCCTGGCTCTGACGGCAGCTAAAGCCCAGCCGGTGCAACGCGAGTGAGCAACACGACATCAAATCGATAAATTTAAAGATGTTTTTATATCGCTAATTGAAATAATGGTCCGGAAATACGACAGGTGCTTTCACAACAACTTATACATCAGGCGTATATTGTTCAATTTAGTCCACAGCCCGAGCCGCATGCCGACAATTTAAACTGCGTCATCACATTTAGCATTAGAAAATAACATTTACGGATGAGAAAAAGCTTTAAATCGAGCACCGCATAATGTAAACACATGAATTCAATGTCAAGAAGGGTGCTAGGCTATAAGTCAGGCTATATTGCCTTTCGTTACGTCGCATTTAACATTTTTTTAAACTGGGATAAAATAAAAATCCGTTCAAATAATAAGATAAATGACAAAAAAACAAAAAAGCTCAGCAAGAAAAGCTTGCAGGCCTTTGGAGGTCTGCATCGAGCGTCAGCGCGACAAAGGCAGAGCAGCAGCACTAAAAATGGAGTCGCGCCATGGCTGCCAGAGCTCAGTATGGAAAACAACGACGAGCCCAGACGGCTCCTCCAGCTCAAAGAAACCAGCTCAAAAAACACACAAAACGCACAGAATCCAGCTAAAAAAACACCGTACTATCACAGCTTTCGACTTTAAACAAGAATCTAACAAGACGGATCGAAAACGAAGCCTGAGAAACTATGTAAGGACAACCCATGGCACCCTTCCCAAGGCTCAGCCGCCATCTAGAGCTCCTTCCCTTCCCTGCTCTGAAAGCTTTGCCTTTGATTGACGTTATTTCCATTTACCCCACACTCAGGTGATGTCTAAGTCCCACCCCTTTTATTAGCTTTTACACGTACTTTTACATCAATTCACGAGCATTGTCAACATTAGGACACAAGCTGTAAAATTAAAAAAAAAATCTTACTTTAAATTAAAGGTTGTAAGAGTGAGGGACTATAAAATGATAGATTCTGCACCATTTACATCACTTCCTGCTCAGACAGGAAAAAGAAGCAGTGGCCATTTTATGAAAGCCTTTTAGGCTATGCTTTGTGACCGACCCATCTGGGTTCTAAACCAAACCTTATGGATAACTAATATTTAGCCATTGATGACATATTACCAGATTTTACATTAGAAGCATATTAAAAACCACCAATGTTGCCTTTATCTCAAAGATAATTTTCTTTACAGAACAATATCTAAATGTAAAAAATAAATTCCATGTCAAGGCTGAGATGACCAATCTTATTACTGACACAAAAAAGCAAACAAGAGTAGTTTTCTACCAAGATTCACTTAATGTCAGCTAATTTCGAAATTGTAAGATTAAAGCAAACCAAACAGCATTTGTCACTTTCCAGATTATCAGCTAATAACACAAAGCCAGTTGTAAATACGTGGACATACACTTTATTTAAAACAGTTGAATATCAATTGTACAACAGCGAACTTTGTTCATGAGTCCCAATCGTAGTTCGTATCGATGACCCAACAAGTCCATGTTGAGAACAACAAAGAAAAGAAAAAAGTAAAATTAAATCCAAATGTCCAGCCAAAAAATAAAATGAGAGAAAACTTCCATCTTGTCAAAATTCGGCAAACAGCTGTATTGCTTGCCATCTTCACGTTAACAACGCGGTCTCCACTGCAGCAATATCCAGTTGAATGGGGTCTTGATGAGATAAGGAAAACAAAAATAATCGTAAGCCCACAGTGCAACTGAAATTAATGATTCACTCAACAGTGTAAAAATGCGTTTTGAATTAAACCAACATGACATTAGTTACATTGTTAGCTTTCAGTTGCATTAGCGAGCATTGCGCAAAAGACTGGTTTTCAAATTAATGAGTTAAGCTTCAAAGCTGTAAAATGTTATGTCTAAATTCCAAGTTTGTGTACGCAGGCTGACAAAAAAAACTTAAATGTACGATGTATTAGCATGAAGGTACGCAGCAGCATGACTAAACTACAGTGTTAAAGCTGACATTCTTGTTAGGATGCGATGAGGAAAAAAGCTGAATAAAGTTTTAAAGGTTTGGAACACTCGTTTAATCAATACACTTGCAGTAGGAATTAATGCCTTGTAAGTTGTACTGGGGGGTGGGGCGCTGCTGCAATATTTTCAGGAACTAGAAATTAGTCTTCACAGTTGAGCTTCAGATGACAGGATTTGGAATCTTATTTTCTGATATTTGGACACCTCACCTCAGATTGGATAACAGCAACGCAACTACCACTGTCTGCTTTGCAACGTGGATGTTTTATCTCCAGAAATAACACAAGCCTGGAGGAGTTCTGCTGTGTGGTGGAGCTGGTAATGCTAATGGTTAGCTTCTACTAGCCAAGATGTTCTCTGCTGTTTCCTGGATGCTAAACCAACAACAGCCTTCCCCGTAGTGAATGTTAAGTGACAGTGTGACGTAGATCTGTCAGGCCTTTCAAATCTTAGATCTTAACGGTCTATTTTCTATCAGAAGCTAATGCAGGAGATAGTAGTAGGAGACCATTTTCTTGTTCAGCCTGCATTAAAAACTGAAATAACCACTAGGGGCACAATGAGTAGATAAACTAACCAAGTGTACATTTTTTGCAACTCTGTTCACACAACTGTTGTTACGGTTCCAAGTCCTGGGAAACAGATGAGCAAAAGTTGCAATAAACCAATTTAAAATCAGTCAATTCCCTCGCTTAAATGTGCGAAACCCTATCATTCCTCTGACTATAGATGCTGTTGTGTTCAGGTCAACGGTCATTTCCAAAACATGTCTTTTTGTTTTTAAAATACATAAACATATTAATTGCTATGCGATGGTCCAATTTCATTAGTCTATTAGCATGGCACTCAAAAGAGAGGACTTCAGCTGAACTGAAAATGCAAGGCTTGTGGGAAAAGGATGGTGTTTTTATTTAAACAAGTGTCTGCAGGAGATGTGAACAAATAAATCCAATATTAGAGACTATGCAAAATATATTGAGTATTTTGTAGTTTATTCAAATGCAATGAATAAATTAGCTTAATTTTGCTAACATTTTAGTGAGGAGATGAAAGAAGAAACTTACAGAGCTGTCTTCTTTTTCCCACAGACTTGGAGAATCTTGTCATCACCGTCATGTTTTTGCTGTCAAAAGGAAATAAGCCAATTAACAAACATCCACAGTCTTTTTACTTTGACTACCTTTACAGTAACTATAAATCCTCAAAAGCATTTCATGCTTAATTCAATAGAGCCAATAATGAAGCAGCACGCTTAAAATTCAAACCGACCAGGCTTTTGTCATGCCAAAACATCTCAACAGGAACGTTTCCCGGTATTCTAGAGGAACCAATATTTGATGCCAGCTATTAGAAAAACCTTAAACCTTTCCTTACTACAAAATAGGGCCCTGCACGGGCCTAAAATCTGAGCCCATGTCCGGCCCGAGGGGGTGGAGCCCCAGCCCGACCCAGTCCGAAAAGGTTTTCAGGATTCTCTGGCCCGACCCGAGCCCGACTTTTTTTTAACCAACTAAAAGAAATCAAAGTGCGTCAATCCTGACCAATGTGTTAAAAGACGTGCAGGATCCGATCGATTTGTTTTTCCCTCATTTACCGTCACGGAGATGACGGCACAGGCTCTGGTGGTAATCAAGTTAAATTTTATCTCTTTCCAACAATTTTCACAAGAAAACAAAACAGTCAAAAGCAGGGCTTGTGTTGACCGGATAGTTCCCGTATTTGACCGTTTATTTTGACGGAGAAAGACTAGAAAGAATTACCCCGACGCATGCAGACGAACTGACATTTTATTCGCTATATTCACATTGCAGATGTAGCTAAAAGATTCCCATCTGAATATCTGAGCTGGACACTGCTCAGCGCAGCTCACTGTCAGCGCGTATGTGCACAGCGAGCTGAAGTTGTGGAGACTGGCTTGGAGTGCGTCGCAGAACCAGAGCGCATACGGTAAGGTTCCTCCCACTGAGGCGAGTGTTTTCCAAACCCTGTCTCTCAGAGAGACTTGTCACGTAGAAAATGTTCCCTGATTATGAAACTTTGACTGAATAGTGATTGTTCCTGTCTCCAATGTGGCGACACATCCAGGAACCATCTGAGGAGAAGCCCAGAATCTCACATCCTCTTCAGCTCAGACAGCGCACATGATTATGCACAAGCGTGACCCGTCAACCCGGTCTCACAGTACGACCGGGTTGGACCTGTTCAGGTTTACGCAGACAGTCTTTACATAGAATTGACTTACAGATATAAAATTAATTCAGTAAATATAAAGCATTTTATTTAAATATCCATTCATTATTTTACAAGCACAGAGAGCCGCATCAGATGGATGGAAGAGCTGCGGTTTGCCGACCCCTGGTATAGTCTATAAAATGACGTTTTCTCCAGGACCAGAGAGGACGCAAATTCAATACATCTCTTTTATTGTGAGGTAATAATTTCTCCGAGTTTTGCGGTTGCGGGCGGTAATTGTCAGAAATTCAGCGGGAGAGGGCAGGAGCGGGATGAAGATAACAGTCCCGCGCAGGGCTCTAGTGCTGCGTTTCAGTCAGGGGTCGGCAACCTGCGGCTCTTCCATCTGATGCGGCTCTCTGTGCTTGTAAAATAATGGATATTTGAATAAAATGCTTTATATTTTACTGCATTAATTTTACATCTGTAAGTCAATTCTAAATGAAAAGATTTTCTGTGTAAACCTGAACAGGTCCAACCCGGTCGTACTGTGAGACCGGGTTGACGCGTCACGCTTGTGCGTAATCATAGGCGCTTTCTGAGCTGAAGAGGATGTGAGATTCTGGGCTTCACAGACGGCTCCTGGATGCGTTGCCACATTGGAGACAGGAACAAGCACTATTCAGCCAAAGTTTCATAATCAGGGAACATTTTCTAAGTGACAAGTCTCTCTGAAAGACAGGGTTTGGAAAACACCCGCTTCAGTCGGGAGGAATCTTCCCGCATGCACTCTGGTTCTGAGACGCGCTCCAAGCCCCTCTTCACATCTTCAGCTCGCTGTGGACCTTATACAGTGAGCTGCGCTGAGCAGTGTCCAGCTCAGATGTTCAGATGGGAATCTTTTCTTGAGTGACTTAGTGTTTCAATTTTTTTATGAATTCGATTAAAATTAAAGGCGCCCGGCCCGTGGTAATTACACAGTCATAGGCCCGCAGCCCGGCCCGAGGGCCTAAGGCTTCAGTGCAGGGCTCTACTACAAAAGGCATTTCAATTTTATTTTTACTAAATTAACGCAATCAAAAGATTTGTCATTTTTTTCTCCAAAGGGCATTTGTTGATTTCCTAAATTAATTATTAAATTGGAATAGGATCTTGGACTTGATCCAATTTTCCTGGGTTGGTGGTGGTCAGAGGGGCAGATGACGCAAAATGGCAAACTCACTTCTGTCAAATCGCCCTAGGGCAGCTGTGGCTACGCTGTAGCGTACCATCAACGGAAGTGTGAACATGTGAATAATGGAAAGTTTTTTAAGTGCCTTTAAAAGCACTATATAAATCTAATCCATTATTATTATTATCTGTAAAGTTTCCAATGTACCACTTAAGTGAACCGCTCCAAGTTTTAACAATAATATTAGCTTTTGAGTTAGTAGCCTTAAATGCAAATCACACTACGTCTCTTGGCAAGTTCCCAAATTCAAGGTCGACTGGCAAGGAGCTATTTGAGCTGAGATACCACAAATAAATGTAGTATTAAGGCTTTTTTAAAGGTGGTAGTAAAAATAAATGTTTGAAAAAAGTTGTAGTCTGTAGATTTGAATGCTCTCTAATAAAAGGGAAGTGTGCTTGATCTGAAACAAGATTTTCGTGTTTTAACGTGGCATTACGTTACATCCAGGCCAAAATTATTTCCGCGACAGCATGTCAACCCCACACCCCTTTTATACCGGCATTGCATAAACTTTTGTGAAAAACATGATTTCTCCAGAATACTTATGGGCTCGACACACGGGAGGCGACAAACGACCGCGATCAGCGAAATTTGTTGCTGTCGCTTTTATTGCCTGTCACACCGGAGGCGATCCGCGGCAGCGGCAAAGCCGTCTACGCGTTCAGCGCTTTGGGCTTCCTGACAGGGTTGCGGAAGGCGCTTTATAAATAAAGCTTTGATTGATTGATTGATTCTGTTCCATGGCGAAATCGAAACTTCCATTGTTTTGTTTGGCTGTGTCAGGTTGGAGGGAATTAAGGTTATTTAAGCGGTTCAGAGTTAATAAAGTGGTAGATATGTTTCACAAGGTGCTGCTAGAGTTATGTGAAATCTTACTTGTGATTTTATTATATAAAACATAATAATCAACTTCTCCTCCATGTTTGCTCGGAGATGTGCGGAGCATCCTGTCCGCTCATTGGTCAGTGAATGAAACCTCCGCGACAGCGATGAAAAGTTGAAAATGTTTCAACTTTCTGGGATCGCGTCACTGGGTCGTCCGTGCACGACACATGCACGAGTGCAAACTTTCACACGCACGTTTTTCGCGTTTCGCTTGGTAGGAGAGAGACCCGCGATTATCGCTTTGTCGCACATGTCTCATTGAAAATGAATGGAGGAGAGGCGATGTCGCCTCCCATGTGTCGAGCCCATTATGTCACTAAACTGTACAAATTATGACTATGGAAAATCATAACTACAATTTTCTTCCCTAAATCTCTAAACATAATCAACAGTGCTACTACAGTTAAAGAAGACAACAGTCCAACAAAAGCATACCAACATTGTTAGGACACAACATGCTTTATCTGACTACCGGTTTATTTGTAATAGAGAGCCTTAAGCCTGCTTCTCCGTCAGCTTCGCAAAGGACAGACACGCACGGACTGACGGAAGTGTTTAGCTCTCATACTTCGTCTTCTGGGGAGTGTTGCAAAGCAATTCCCCGCCAGGACAACAGAGGGCGTAGCGCTGTTCTGTGGTACCCTGTCATGTATCCGGTCCAAGATAGTGCGTTTATATTGTATTTTTTGTATACAAGAGACTTTTTAACAGACAAATTTGTCTCTCATTCTCTTCCACCTCTTCATGCGCTCGCCACCTCTAAACCCACGTTTCCTGTCATTTCCGTCCACAAATAAAACGCTTGCTGCATATCTTTTCACTCCTCCAGTCACGGGGGAATTAAACTTTCATATTTTTAGTTTTTTTCGCGAGGTATTCAAGCTTCTTCGTGTCTGCCGCTAGTTATTCTCGGCTCTCTTTATGTTTTTAAGGGCGCAATGGCGACGGTGGAGACAACAGCGGTGCCCTGACCAATCACAAGCTTGCGTTCTCCGTCTCGAAAAGGAGAAAAGAGAGCTTGACTCTGTCCTTCCTTTCGGGGCTTTCCAGCAGGCCCACAAGGACGGATAATGGCGTTGCATGTCTCCAGTGGGCCCACAAGGACGGATAATGGCGTTGCATGTCTCCGCACTGACGCAGAAGCATTAATCAGGCATAAGTCACGCCCATCTACTTCTGGACCATGGGTCTCTGAAGGAATGCAAGTGAAGGGGCTAAAAACGATATTTACTAATTCTGTTTGTTATGCGCCACGGATTTCACATATGATGTCCGTAAATTTTATAGAGGCAAGTTGATACCAAGAAAGTGCATATTTTTTTAAACGGGAAACGTTATTTTAGGTTGTGTGAAAATATGTCGAAGACAACAAATGCACATTACCAAAGTAACGTCGTCAAACCAGACATGGAGAAAAACAGAAGGAAGATGGCTTTAAGTTCAGCGAACTTCAAATCTTTCCTTCAGGACGAAAACAACCCCCATCATAAATCTGGCCATCTGGTAAGTAGCAGCTATGTTAGGGGAGATGAGGTTGTGTGGTGACGTCATATATGCGACATGTCAACGTCTGATTTGTAGTCATGCTAATTGTAAACTTTTACAAGCTGACCGATCTTAAAGTACATGACCGGTGTGGTCGAAATACCCATCATTAGTTTTGATTTAAATTGAAGTACAACATATGTGCGATCCAGGGCGTAAGGCAAAGGTTAGACAATAGCTATTTTAGCCTCATTGACTTGCATTCATTTTTTCGTTCATCCGAGGACCTGTGAGCCGACCGTAAAGGGAGGAGACTTGGGTTTCCTATATACACTTTACCACCAACACCAGGAGGGGTGACCCAACTTCAAAAGTAGTGCGAGGTGATCTGTACCCAACAAATAAATAGTGCAGGGTAATCGGTACCAAACAAAAGTAGCACGAGGTGATCTATCCGCGACACAAAAATAAAACAGTGGTGGATATGGTAGCAATGGTGAACATTCAGCTTAGTCAGCGGCTCTTTGTCAGACTTTGAAGAGACTCGAAAACGCTGCGGGCAGAGAGACAGAAGACTCTGGGGCCACCAGTAACTTAACCCCCTAACCAATCAGTCACTGGTGATCTAGCTTGGTAAGCTTGGAACTACTTCAAAGTAGGTAGTAAAAATAGACATCAACCACACTAATTACTAATTGAAACTGCCTGGTGTGACTGAAACCACTTAAGCCTAATTTATACTTCTCAGTCAGCTCAGCAAACGAAAGATGCAGGACCTGCGCATACCACACTATATTTATGGCCACAGAAGATGCGCAAATAACTATGTTGATATGCCTAATGAAAAACCTTCCGCCACCACATTTGAAAGCAACTGATGTTAAGATGGGTTACGAGCTACGTTAGATTAGCATGAGAAACCAACTTGCTTAACTGTTTCACTAGTGTTATGTGCTAACAGTGTGAAGTGTTTTTAAATCAAAGTGACAAAATACACGTGCTTTTGAAGGAAATTTTACATGGTTGAAGTAAAAATTAAAAAGCGAAAACAATATTAGCACCTCGCCACTTTGTCAACAAAAAATATGCTTTAATTATTGATAGGTTAATCATTACATTAGTAGTTGCAAATGTATAGTAAATTGTTATAAATAAATGTATTATCGGTTGACAAGAGAACTTTGTATATTTACTAATCAAGCTAATCACTCTGAATGAGTTTTGTAAGTTGGCTAAAGCCCGATTTAGAATTCTCCATCTGCGTCTGCGCAAGGACTTTCCAATGGGCTCACGGAGGTGAGACATGCCCAAAATTTTAAACATCAGTCGAAAGTGACTTGAGGCCGCAAGCTTGTGATTGGTCAGGATGCCACTTCCTGTATATTTGTCACTGGCACCACTGTAGCTCAGTTAAAAAGTAAACAGATATTTAGCGACAGACCCCGAAAAGATTGAAGAACTCAATCGCGGAAAAATTTACATTTTTTCACCCGTGAGAGAAGGAGTACAAAATATGAAGCAAACATGAACGGAAACGACGGGAAACGTGGGTTTAGAGGTGGCAACCTCATAGAAGAGGTGGAGGAGAAAGAAGGACAAATTTGGCAGTGCTATAAAGTAAATACACCATCAGGGACCGGATACAAGAGTGTTATGGTGGCAAGATACCTCAAAATAGCGCTATGCCCTCTGTTGTCCTGGCGGGGAATTGCTTTGCAGCAATTCGCTGCCTGAACAGAAGTTCAAATGTGAAAACCTTTCAGACACTCCATGTGCGTCTCTCCGTTGCGGAGCTCACAGAGAAGTATAAATCAGACTTAACTAGTTGAAAGATCTGCACTCGTTTCGTTTTCATCAAGTAATTAGTTTGATATGAAGAAAATTTAGCAGAATTATGTTTTTTTAATCTAAACGTCAAAACTAAGGGCAAATATTAAAGATTTGCTGGGTTAATAGATATAAGCATTAGACAGTTTGCTAATGTTAACTAATTTCAAGCTAGCCAAGTAATGCATTACTACGTTTCTAAATACTTCTTTGTAATATCTTAACACTAGGGGGCTGTGTTGTTGAACCTTGTGACAGTAACGAACCAGATTATGATAAAAAAAAAAGTAATACCTAAAACAACCATCTTAAAGAAAAAAATTCTACTTACATAATTCAAGTGTGACACAAAGCTCTCAAGTTCTTGGGTTCACTGTGGCAAAAACCCTTAAAACAGAAATTATTTAGAGTGTTAGTGAGACAACAGCACACCCTACTGGCTAAATGCATGTAACAATAAAGACAAAAATCACATCACTGCAAATTATACTTTTGTACGTATAAAATAAAAATGTACCATTGAGAATCGTTGAAACAATCTTGTTTCTTCTTTGGCGAATGCTGGGAAACAAAAAGAATCCCTGAAAGACACAAACGTAATAATTATGATTTATCATTGTGATAGCCATCAACAAAATTTGAACCTATGTTGGCTCTAAACAAAAGTACAATTATAAATATGACAAGAGGCAGTTTTTGAACTACTGTGCATTTAAAGCATTAGGAAAACGCATAAAGGTTTTACGAATTATTTACGCAAATGTTTTATTTGTACACGGTTGATAGCTTTAAATGCGAGTGCATTGATGTTAAAAAAATGACAGCCATTTTAGAACGTCTTAGAGCGGACATTTTGTTGCTGCTATGAGCTACTAATCTTTTGGATTTAAAATACTGCGAGATTCAAAAAGTTAATATACCATAAAATGTGTTTTCATTACAGATGTTACTTATGTTACAAACTTGTCCTCAAATGTGCAAGTCCCAAGGAAAATAAAAATCAAGAAGACTTTATTTTTTAATTTATATTTAAAGCAGGATTTAGAATATATTTATATTTACATAGGTATAGTTAGGATTTAACCACGTAAACCAGAGTTTACATGTATTTTAAGGGAAAAGTGACAAGGAAAATTGAATATATAAAGATATGTATATTACTTCACCAATCAGAACCTCAAAGGGTTAAATGCCAACACCCTATTTTGTATTTCGATGTATATCTAAGCTTTTAAAAACACAGAATCCTTAGAAGGCAATAAAGTCGAACATTATGATGTGGGATGTTGAAATTTAATATATAACTGTCAAATGTCCTATTTTGAGCATTTTGGCAACTTCTCACAATCTATTAATATAAAGTTTTAAAATCTTAAGTATTGAAAAATACATTTTGAATATCTGGTTCCAAACAGAAATTTGTAAGCTTGTGAAAGGATCTTGGGAAAATAGAAACGATTTTTACGTATTTAATCCATTTTTTTCATCGACGAAAAAGCTCAAAAATGGAATACACTAAAAAAATAAACCAAACTGTGTTTAAGGTTGATGTGTTTATATGTATTGGTCTTGGTACAACGTAAAAAAAACCTAAGCATTTGCTTAAATTTGTTGCTATTGTCGAGTAAATTCACACAAGGGCATTTGCCCTTTCAAGGACAAAGGAAATTTTAAATGCGTAGGTTGAAATAACTCGAAATACTTGAAGAATAAATATACTTGTCCACACATGAATCGAGTTAACTCATAACAGTGGTGTCAAACATGCAAAATCTATCAAGTAAAACACAATTCCACCTTATTTCTACTGAGTTAAAGGTTTTTCTATTCTTCGCAGACTACACCATGGCCATTTTTACAACACTGCGCCTCACTGTCGTTTGCTCCACCATATTGCCTTCCCTGCCCGGTTCGTGCTTTTCTACCGCTAATGCATTGATTTGTTGAAGGTTCTTACCGAATCCATCGGCCACGTCTATCCCCAGTCATCTGCCGCGGTCAGCGTTGCCTTTTGGGGCAATTTTCGCCGTTTTGGTGGGTGTTTGAGCCGCATCGTTACCGCCTTCGTCTGTCTCCGTCCTCTCCGCCTCGCTACTCTGCCGTGTCTGTTCTCCACTCCGCCTCTCCCCGAGCTGATATCCTTCAACGGTTCAGCCCACTTTTCTCTCAATAGACGTAAACCAGACTTCACTTCCTCTCCAGTTAGCCCGTTGTTTGCTAGCTCAGCTAGCTAGCTTGGGCTTCTTTTTCTTCCCATTTAAAATTATTATATTCGTTACAATAATTTATAACTATATCAATGTGTATCAATCAGAATAGATACAAAGTAAAGACCAATATAACAAGAGGTCACATGTTTTCTTATTTTTTTCTTCTTCTTCTATGTAAAAACATGAGAAATTGACTAAAACGTGTTGGATTTAATCCGTCACACAATTTGAAATAGTTTGTCAAGATGCTGTCTTTTGGTAAAAATGTGGCTTTAGGATTCTAACTTGTGCAGCAAATTCAGTGTCAGCTCCTTTAAATGACAAAATAAAATTTCTTTAGAAACATGTTTCACATCTGTTGGATTAATTTTGGTCTCAATTGACTCTTAAACCCTTTTTGTCTGTTTTGTCAGATGTTCACAGGTTTTCAATTTTAATGATTTTTATTGAGTTGAGACTTTTCTCTAGCCTGAAATAAAAACCAATTAAAAACCCCATTCATTAATGGGGCCTGGGAACCAATTTATGCTGTAATTGGAATATAAATATACACCGTTAATGATAATACAGAAGAGTTGCAGGTTAATAAACACCAAATTGAGATCCTGGTCATTAATGTATTGAACTGTTCATAAATGTTCTAGATTTGAGTTTTATTTTATTTACACTTACAACTAGGTCAGTCACAATCCACTTTCTTTCTTAGTCAAAGAGTTTCCATGTTTCCTACAATGTGTGGACAGATGACTATTAAATCTCCAAATGTCTGGTTAAAATAAGCTTTACCAGCCAAAACATCAAGAATCCTGAACCTGCCATCGTTTTCTGCTCTTCATCGGATTTAAAGGATTTAAAGGATTTTTAACCCCAGCATAAAGACCCAATACCATGTTCTGGTATGTCTGGTATCCCTTGTTCTAGGCTATTGATAGAACACTGGGAAGCAGGAAATCATTTATAGATATCAAAGTGCATAGTTATCACTTTCGTGCAACATTGCATGTATTTATAACTTAATTTACTACATATATTTACAAATACAATCCCTTATAATTGGAATAAGACGTTTTTGTGGGGAAAAGCATTGCTAAGCATTGATCTTGCAAATCAGAGATTCTCTGATGCTTTCGAGACGGCTATCCTGTTCAACCATGACAACATTTTTATTTTTCTGCACCAAAAATGAGCTAACCAGTCAGTCCTTGGTTAAATTTGGCTGATCAGTCAGGCCTTTTGTTGAACGGTATGGAGGCCCCAGAAATGCACTCCACCCCCACCACTGACCAATGAGATCACCACAAAGCAAAGCGCATGCGCTATTCAGGGGAAGATTTCTTTAAAAAGATCCTCAGCATAGCAACAGCAGTGCCATGGAAAGGAGAATCATGGCAAACCCTCACACCTCATGTAAAAGGGTCATGTTTCAACTGAGTGACAAACTATGTGTTTCCTTGAGCCTGATGGGCCTTTCTTTTGAATTGCTGCTGTAATTTTTTTGCATCAACATACTTTTTTTAAGTTTACATTAATAAAATAGAACTTTCTGGACTTAATATTTATGGTATAGACATTGCAGTAACATTCACAAAATGGATGCAGAAATGCAGCCATTTTTTTCTGTGCTCGACAGAAGCGTGTCTATAGTTTGCATTCTTAGGTGTTCAGTTTGACATAGAGATGTTTCTAACAAACACCCTCCTACTTTGCAGATACCTTTAGCCTCACACACACACATTTTAGTCAGAAATGTCTACGTGGGTTATTCTCATTGCTCAACAACCTCTGAGCTGCAGCTGCCAAATCACTCAAATAAGCACTGGACTAAAACATTGTGTTGTTTTAAAAGAATGGGAGTGTAACGTTTCAGGAACATCAGTATAAAAATAAATATTGTATTTTATGTTAAGCTGAACTGAAGCACAAAATTTCAGGCAAAATATAAGCAAAAAAAAAACATTAAATTAAGACACTCATGTTAACATGTTCTTCAAATTTCTTTAATCAAACTCATTGACATATGACCAGCTTTTACTCTAAATTACATTTAAATATTTCATGCTTCATATCAAAGCAATACATTAAAAACAAAGAACAGCCCATGTTTATCTGCACTTTGATATGATCTTTTCTCATCTAAAGTCTGAACATTTGCACCGTAACTCCTCTAAGATAAACACACTTCTGCTGAATGACTTATTTGATGAATTCATGAATTATTTTTTCTATCGAAAACTTGAAGGTCAGATGGTGCTGAGTGTTCTGATCTCTGGAGAAAAGTCTGTAGTACTATTATTTTGTGCTGCCATCTGGTGGCTCTAGGTTAAAAAAACTGTTTCCTGCAGGAGTTCGCACATAATTACAGAATAAAGTAAATAGCAGAGGAGGAAATTAAATTAAAACAAATATGTCAGAATTGTTTATATTTTTATCAAAAAGGAGTCGCAACACACTGAAAATGTTTCCATGTTACAGAATGTTCCTATTCAACCACCAGAGATCACAAACTGAATTACATGCAGATTAATTAAATAAACACAGAATTTTAAAAATTGTGACAATTATGTGTTCAGTTAGATTGATTTGGTCCATGGACATCAGAGTGAAGCGTGCATGCTTCCGATGTTTCAAAAGGTCATTTTTGGTTCTGACCTGCTGGTTCTGCTCATGGATTTGTTGTCTGATTTACTCAAGGATCAGTGACCTGAGAGTCTGTCTCGTCTGCTGCCTTCAAATGCTGCTGGGAAGTTGTATGAAGACATGTGACCCCGTGTTTGTTCATGTGGAGTGATCAGAGCTGTGGAAGAAATCTGCAAGTCTGATCTTGGGGATGAGATCATCCAAAATATTCAGCTTTCTCAAACCATCAGAGGCTGATAACCATTGCTTTCCAGGTGTCTGACTTCCAGCTTTGGGACCACTGAGATTATCATCGTGCTGCTCAATTTGTGTTTTATAAAAGAAAGAAAAATAAATACAGAATTTATAAGACTTTTTACTGATTTATTATTTGATTAAGATTTAAGTTAACTTTTTTGTCATTAAATGCAAAACAAATCCACCTTTAGTTCATATTTTTATTTGTTTAATGACAATATAGATAAATATTAATAATCTAATGCAAAGCCAGTGGCTGATATTCCAATTATGTGCCTTTTATTTAAAATAAACACATTTCTATACACACACAAAAAAGAATAAATAGAAAAGTATAATAAACTAAACATTTTGTAATTAAAATAAAAGTGTCAACTCTCATTGTTGCGCAAATACATTTCATAAATATGTGGTGATTTGTATCTTTCACCAGATGGGGACTAATGTATATTTTAGGTTGGTATGTAATCTCTTTTCAAATAAAATTCCAAAACACGTCTAAAATAATAAATCATCATGTAACACGTGAAAATGTAAAGTAAAAATGGAACAACAATGTCACATCAGTAACAAAGCGTTTTAATGCATACAGTAATTATTTAGCTTCATTTTATTATGCCATTTGTATTTTCGTCAGGCTCCATTTCCCCTAAACGTTTCAACAAACACCCCTTTTGCAAAAGAGCCAATCCGAAATCATGAACATCTTGCTCTTTCCAGCTCCAGCTCTTCTGAGTCGGGATGTCCGTGATGAACCTGAAGGCAGCACAAGCCCAATCCCGTCTTCAGCACCAGGAACAGGGAGCCATGCTGCAGAGCGCTTCCGGAGGCGGATAATCCTCATCTCTGCTGTCAGGGAAGGATCTCCAACATCTACAGGGAGGATTTCTTGTTCCACCTTTAACAGAAGGTCACGCGAGAAGAGAAATGGATATTTGAGTCTCACCTTGTGCGTTTTTCTGTCTCTTCTGTAAACATTTGACAGTCATACAGCGACACACTGGATAATGTGACAGCTGTTGGCACGTTTCATCGACCACAAGGAGAAAAACGACAGAATCATCTAATCGATTTCTCATCTCAGCACCACGATGGTGACCATTAATCTGGTTTTAACTTTACTAGCGGCGGCTCTTTGGAGGATCAGCGGAGAACCGCTAATGACTCCTTCATCTGCGCCAAACGCGCAGTTAAATTCAACATCCATCATCACCAGGAGCCACGATCATGAACTGGCGAAAAATGGCACAAACACAGCCCGGATTTCTCCTCTGATGGCGCATCTCCCCGCTCTGAAAAACATCGTTATTTTTATCTTCGTGTTAACAGCAGCCCTCATCACATGTCTGGTGGTCAGAGTGATCAGGTGCGTCTGGGTCACACATTTACCTGTTTGGAATCCGAGACATGAATCTCCCAAGAGTTTGTTTGTTTTAGCTTGCTTGTGACTACACGTTGATATAATCACACGTGGTGCTGTTGATAATCTTTAGCCCAACAAAAGATAAGTTTATTTTTTATTATAGCCGTAAATAATGCATGTAATTGTATTCTAGTTGTATTTTTTACACAAGTTCTATTAATTTATTTAAAAATATGTTTATTCTTTTACTAATTTGTGAACCAGATGTTATTAGAAGCTTCCTCAAAAAGTTTCATGTAAAACTTCAAGCTAAAAATACACCAATGTGGTTTTTTTGTGACCAGTACCGACTTGTAGAAATCAGGACAGATGATGGCCGATGTACAATGCTAATTTTTTTAAATCCATTTCCCCCCCTAACTGAAATAAGGAATTGGCTAACAACTGCTACTGCATATTTCCTCTTTGGTAATTAATAACAGTTTTTGTCAGTAACTGATTCATTAAAAGCAACTGATTTGTTGGTCACGTCAGATATTCAATCCACTTTTATGTCAAACCACAAGCGGTTTGATTGTTTTGCTTTGTGAACATCCTGATAAGCGTTCACAATTAAATTAACAGAATTTCTCCATTAGATGAAATTTAGTGTGCTCCAGCAGCCACTCCACTCAGGCTCTGAATTTACTGAGTGACTCTGCTTCATTAAAAATCTGAAGTTCTTATGGTTTTTTTTTCTGCAGATCCGGTCGACGAATCAGGAAAACGCGAAAATACGACATTATAACGACCCCTGCGGAGCGTGTTGAGATGGCCCCTCTTAATGAGGAGAATGATGATGAAGATGATTCAACCCTCTTTGATGTCAAATACAGGTTGGTTTCTTTCAGATGACATCAACATCAATGCAGCACAGTTTAATGGGGACATATTATGCAAAACTCACCTTATGTGTCCTTTAGTGCCATGTGGGTCTCCACTGCCTCTATAAACTCAATAATTGTGAAAAAAACATCCACCTATTTTCTGTCAGTGTTTGTTATGTTGTAATTATGTGCCTAAAACAAGTTGTTTAAAAAAAATCCTCATTTGTGACATCACAAACGGGGAAATTAGCATAGAATCACCTTTAATGCGAGAGAGAGAGTTGCCGCTGGAGGAGCAGGAGCAGCGGTGGCTCTACTCTGAGCCCCTCTTTAGACATCACAGCTCCAGGTTGTTTTCTTAAAGTGATAGAGCCCTGAAACGGCTCATTCTGGAAGGTACTGAAACTTCTTAGACTAAACCTGCTGAAACTGCTTTATGTGAAAGGGATTTTGTGCAAAGACATTCATAAACATGTTTTAATTTAACCATAGAGCTTAAGAAGTAAGGTCATAACATATTTAAATGTTCCTTAATATGTATTTGGCTTCATGAAGGGTGCATTTTTTACTGTTCTTGCACAGTTTATGCAAAACATTTGATCAAAACAGACAGATAAATTACTATGTGGTTGAAAATTTGCAACTTGTACGACTGCTTTGACTATACAAAAGGCTGAAACAGCTCCCCCTGCTTTACTCTTAAATGTTTCAAGGTGTCACACATGAAGATGTTTTGCAGAAGCACAAGAACAGTCGGGGGACTAAATTATGGTCACGGGATAATAAATTACGAGTTTTTCTCACGCAAGCAGGCCGTTTGTTCTTTGTAAGGAAACAAACAGTTCTGGAGAAAGAGTTTAACTCCAAATCTAATGTTGACTTTAGGTTTCACCCTTCCGTGTTTTCAATTGTTCTTTGACACACACATACACACACTTCCTCAAAGGAAAATGTGATGTCCTGTTTACCTGACATTCCTGACTTCCAAGTCAGTCGGGGCAGGGGAGTTTACTTCCTCATCGTCTTCTGCTCAGTTACCATGGAATAACTGGAACTTTCTCCTTTTCTTTCAGGTGAACCCCAATGTGGACGTCAGTAATTTGCACCTCCTGTCCTGCTACAACTCAAGTGATTTTTATTTCTGTCATCAGTGACTTTTGCATGACTTTATTCTGTTCAGATATTTGATTGATGTTTTATGGAGGCTCCTATCATCCAAACAATCTAATATTTTAGTTTTTAAACAGAAAAGGAGCTTTTGAGTTCATGTGTGAAAGTTTTAAGTCCAACTTTGTGATTGGCAGTCAACTGATCAATTAATTTTATAGAAGTTTAATATTTGTCCTATTATTTGAAAATGCTTTTTACCAAAGCTTACCAATTACACTCTATCCATCCATCCATCCATCCATTTTCATCCACTTATCCGGAGTCGGTCGCGGGGGCAGTAGCCTAAGGCGAGAGGCCCAGACTTCCCTCTCCCCAGCCACTTGGACCAGCTCTTCTGGGGGAATCCCAAGGTGTTCCCTGGCCAGGTGAGAGACATAGTCCCTCCACCGTGTCCCGGGTCTACCTTTAGGTCTCCTCCCGGTTGGACATGCCCAGAAAACCTCACCAGGAATGCGTCCAGGAGGCATCCTGACCAGATGCCCGAGCCACCTCAACTGGCTCCTCTCGATGTGGAGGAGCAGCGGGTCTACTCCAAGCCCCTCCCGAATAACCGAGCTTCTCACCCTATCTCTAAGGAAGAGCCCAGCCACTCTTCGGAGAACACTGATTTCGACCGCTTGTATCCGCGATCTCGTTCTTTCGGTCACTACCCAAAGCTCATGACCATAGGTGAGGGTAGGAACGTAGATCGACCGGTAAATCGAGAGCTTCGCCTTCTGACTCAGCTCTCTCTTCACCACGACAGACCGGTACAACGCCCACATCACTGCAGATGCAGCACCAATCTGCCTGTCGATCTCACTCTCCAGCTGTCCCTCACTCATGAACAAGACCCCGAGACACTTAAACTCCTCCACTTGGGGCAGGACCTCATCCCTGACCCGGAGAAGGCATTCTACCCTTTTCTGAATCAAGACCATGGTCTCAGATAACTCTAGTTATTTTTAATTACAATGATGAAATTAGAGTTTTAGAGGCTCACATACAACAAATATTGTTGTGAATATATATTTTTTCAACTAACTTGCAGGCCTCTTAGTGAGATTATAAACAAAGATTTTTTTTTAGCAAAACCAAATTTTATATTTGCGTACTAACCACTTTATTGTGCATATATACTGTTAAAGACCACATCCTTCAGGTGTAAATTAAGCATATCTGTATTTTTTTTAACCAAAAGTCTTAAAATCTGTTTTATTTTGCTGCTATCACAGATATTAAATTGTCAAATCTGACCAAAATCTCTAGAATGAATGTGAAGGTTGTAATCTGGTTTCATTAAGTGTTCTGAATTCTGACAGCAGCAGGGTTTTTGGGGCCATTTTGAATTGTGCTTATGTGTAAATGTTTAAATAATTACTGAAAAAAAAAGTTTTCCTCAGCAGCCTGAGTTTGGTGAAATAGTGAATCTTTTCTAGAGGTCGATAAGCTAACAGCAAGGTTGAATGCAGCCAAATCTCCAAATATTTGCAGTGGTTTACGAAAAAACTCTTTTATAGTTCATTAGGCTTCCATTATTTTCTCATCGCAAGGTAATTTTTTTAGCAGGATTAAAATTCCTCCCCATTCACCTCTGGGTGCACCAGAAGTGCAAGAAGCAGGAAGCCATCTATACTGTAGTGGGTGAGGTGGTCATCAAAACCATAGACATCATATGGTGCATTTGATTTACCTCGGAAGATGGATCTAGGAATGGCATCGCATCCGAGTTAACCTCGCTCTGGTTATTGTAGTCGGAGAAATCAGGATTCCAATATTGTGACGCACACCTGCCAAGTCATGTCATGTTCAACAAACCAATCTGAAATGATTGGAGCTTTCTGACATGGTGCATTATCCTGGTGGAAGTGGCCACCAGAGGATGGGTACATGGTGGTCATGACGGGATAGACATGGTCAGAAACAATGCTCAGTTAGCCCGAGGCATTTAAACGATTCCCAATTTGAACTAAGGGACCTAAAGTGTGCTAAGAAAACATCCCCCACACCATTACACCACCACCACCAGCCTGCAGAGTGGTAACAAGGCATGATGGATCCATGTTCTCATTCTGTTTACGCCAAATTCTGACTCTACCATTTGAATGTCTCAACAGAAATTGAGACTCATCAGACCAGGTAACATTGTCCAGTCTTCAACTGTCCAATTTTGGTGAGCTCATGCAAACTGTAGCCTCTTTTTCCTATTTGTAGTGGAGATGAGTGGTACCTGGTGGGGTCTTCTGCTGTTGTAGCCCATCCGCCTCAAGCATTACGGTGTGGCTTCACAAATGCTTTGCCGCATTCCTCGGTTGTAACGAGTGGTTATTCCAGTCAAAGTTGTTCTTCTATCAGCTTGAATCAGCCGGCCCCTTCTCTGACCTCTAGCATCAACAAGGCATTTTCGCCTACAGGACTGCCGCATACTGGATGTTTTTCCCTTTTCACACCATAATTTGTAAACCCTAGAAATGGTTGTGGGTGAAAATCCCAGTAACTGAGCAGATTGTAAAATACTCAGACCAGCCCGTCTGGCACCAACAACCATGCCACGCTCAAAATTGCTTAAGTCACCTTTCTTTCCCATTCTGACCTTCAGTTTGGAGTTCAGGAGATTGTCTTGACCAGGACCACACCCCTAAATGCATGGAAGCAACTGCCATGTGATTGGTTGATTAGATACTTGCATTAAAGAGAAGTTGAACAGATGTTCCTATTAATCCTTTAGGTGAGTGTATGTGAGTTTTGTAAAATAATCACATTTAAATCAAAAGTTACTGTTGATATGGAGAGCTGCCATTTAGGATGTGAGGTTGGCGTTCCGAAACTCTTCCGAGTTTTTGACTGGGAGGTCCGACTTTGAGGGGCATTTCATTTGAATTTTCTTACTCATACGTCGGTATTTCCCAGTTCCAAGGACAAATCGAACGCACCAATAGACAGGACATGGACTGGCGCTGTAGTGGGCCGCCATCTTGGATGGGTCTCCATTCGCCCCAAGTGCATTTATTTCTACTCAGGATGTTTACCCAACTAAAAAACATTTTATTATGCTTTTTCACAAAATCAGGCATATGGTTTGGCATGATAATTAAATATACATTTAATTAAAATAATTAAAATATAAAATCCCAAAAGGTATGCTAAAAAAAGCCAATAGTAAATCATCTCACATGATCTGTGTTCAATAGTATGCCGGCTGTTGCAACCGTATAGGCTGCATGAAAAACGGACATATTGCGCACTCTGTGTGATGGCTCCAGTTGGGTTTGGAGTGAGGAATCCATCCAATATGGTGGTGGTGCTGTTACGCTCTCCAGCGCTCAGTGGCGCGTCGACATATTTGTGTCTATGATCAAATCTTTTCCGCAGAAACAACCCTCAAAATGATGAAAAACATCCCTTAAAGTGTATTGAATGGTGAGGGTAGCAGGTTTAATGATTAACAACTTGCTCTCAGTATTTTAGCCTGGAGTCAGAACTAAACTCCTGTGAATTCTGGTTTCTCTGGTCTGAGTCCGTAAATAAACAGCTAATAGGCTTTCTACTTATTGACGTAAAATGTGATTTTTTTCCCCCTGGGCTCCTTCAAATTAAATCTTTTTAGGATCTCAAACTAACAAGTTCTCAGAAGCTGCCTGCTTAGTTTCTCATCAGCATGTACACCCCCCAAAACAATAATAAATCTTAAATTTAGTAAGTTGTTTACAAAATATTAGAATCACTGTTTACCCCAAAATACGTAACCTTGTTTCTGAGGGGCAGGTTTGGTTTCCGTAGCTGATAGTAGATGACCTTCAGCTGTGATCTAAGTATCTACGGTTGCAGCTGCTGAGCTTTATCCTTCAAATCAAATGCTGTCGACATTTTCAAACTGAATGTGTTTGTTTATAAAAACATATATAAACCAATAAATGTGAATCAATTCTGATTATTGATGTTTTTTTCAATCAAACTCTTGTGTTTTTCTTTATGATTTTAATATGTAACAGTCTGCAGATGCATTTGTTTCTCTTAGGCATGTTGTAAATTCTTCTTTCCGTGTGTGTGTGTGTGTGTGTGTGTGTGTGTGTAATCATGGAAAAAACCTGCTCACGTAAAGTTGCTAATTGTAGACTTTTATTAGCTCCGAGTCAAAACGTTTCCCCTGTAAAATAAACCAGTCGTAGCTGTGAAGACAAAAAAAAAAAAAAGAAGTTACATGTTTTTCTGGAAAACAACTTTGACCCAGATGTGTGTTCCATGTCTTTAAAGCAAAATAAAATAACTTCCTTTGAAGTGTTGAGTCTTTAAAGGGAGCGGTGTGGAACATGTCTGCGTTTTGATCTTTTACACGGGGTTTTGTCACAGAAAAGTACATTCACATTGTCATAAATGAACAGTTCAAGTGTCTATGAGATACAGATTTAAATATGCTCAAGTCCTTTAAGTCAGGATAAACATGCAAAGGCTAAATATTGTCAGAACATTTGACAGATTTGAACATAAATTAGATGAGAAGTACTAAACTATACAATCTGCAGCCTCGCAGAAGGAACTAAATGTCAGAAAGCTTCAGAAGCTGCAACAAACTTCACATTCTGAGTTAATTAACTTAATAGCATCGGTCACAGAGAGTTGCTATTTTCTACCAAATTCAGACAAGCTTGCACAAACAAACCCTTCATTGCTCCAGACTGCTGACATTTAAACTTTCATGTCTATTCTTAACTTAATCGGCGGCGTAATGAGGCCGACATGCAAGCAAACAGTCGCATCCCGTCAAAGCAACACTCTTTTGGACGGATCACATGGCCGCAAATGCATGAGAGGCAACTGGTTTAGTTCAGATGCTTCCAATGTTTCTGGGAATTCTTGTTAATGAGGGAATTTCTTTTGGTTCCAAAAGAAAAAAAAATTGGCTAAAAAAATGAAAATTCCTAGAAATGTTTATTTCCACAAGGGTGGCAACTGGGAAGTACAAAAATATCTTCCAAGTGTTAAAATATTTTTGCTTCAAAAGTCTGACGCAGGCATCCAAATGAATATTAAGACAAAACTGCAGCCCTACAATGTGGAATTTGCTGTTTGTGTGCATTTTTAAGCTGCACTGAAACACAGACGGCTCCTAATCTATTAGGAATTAGTTATAAACCTTAAAAAAGTGGAAAAATCCTCTTAAATATTGCCGTTTTTTATTATAGGCATCGTTACATCTACAAAACCAACCTGCTACAGTGTTTTAATACCAATCCAAAGTCACTATACATCAAGTGTCCCCAACTCCAGACCTCGAGGGCTACCGCCCTGCTAGTTTTCTGTGTTTCCTGCTCTTTCACACCTGAATGGAATAATTTAATCCTCTACTTACCACGTTCAACTTTGCACAGGCCTGTTAATTACTCATTCAGTTAAATCAGGTGTGTAGGAGCAAAGAAACAGCTAACATATGCAGGATGGTAGCCCTTGAGGACCAGAGTTGGTGACCCCTGCTTTAAATCACCTTTTTTTGCCAGGAGTATTTAATTCCGGTACTGGTGGGCCGGTATCCGGTACCTTTTAGTTTTAACTCTGTTTCAACATGCTTGATTTCAATCAGTAGGTGATCAACATGCTTCTGCAGAGCCTGATGAGCTGCTGTACAGGTGATTCAACCACCAAATCAAGTGCGCTGGAGCAGAGAAACCACAGAGTCGTGCTGGATATCAGCCTTCAAGGACCAGAATTGAATACCCCTGCTTTATGCTAACACAGGCGAAACAAGTTTGTAACTCTTCAGCCTCTCAGTGTTTAACACAAAAACGGAGAGCTCATCATTCAGAAAAGCACCAGCACATTCATTTAAAGGCTCACTTTTACCACGTCGTACAGCAACAGCGTGACCTCTGCAGAAACTAGGTGCTCCTAGAATAAACTCTGCAGAGTGACTCAACTGTTGGCTAAGTAAACATTCACATGTGAGCAGCTGCTTTGTTCTCCTCACAGGAGTTTCACACAATCCAAGCCAGTCGTGGGTTAACGCCTTCTTTATAAGAAAATACAAAAAGGCATTTTTCTTTTTAAATTAGGGGAACTGTTAGAGAGTGAAACATCAGCTCTTTTAGGAGGTTTTCGTGCAACATAATTCATTGCTTTAAGAAAAGTTTTTTTTTCTTTGTACATAAATCTTCCCTGATTATTCAGTGCTTCCATCTTGTGGCTCATAAGAGACTCACAAGAACCTTCGTGTACATTACAACCTTTAATTAAAAATTGCAGATCTCTAATATTATTCTATAATTTAAAAATTTTGTTTTACTGGTGATTTAAATCCAAATTTTTAACAGAATAGTTTGAATTCACAAAATGCAAGAAAGACATTCTTTTTTTCAGCAAAACATACTAAAACATCTTTGGTACGTTCTTGCTGTGTCTGATTTCTAATTCCATTTTTGGTTCTTTTTTAAAACACAGAAAGGTTTCTCTTTACCTTGCTTGCTGACAGTTTTGTTTGCAGCTGCAAACTTCCCCAGAGCTGACGCTGATGGTGGCGTCAATTCCTACTCCGTTTATTTGCGGGCAGCAGAGGACGTTGTCGCCCTCTGCTGCCCGCTCTCCCCTCTCCGATGATGCAGTCCCATGCACGATCCAACAAGTAAACTCCATCATCTCTGTTCATGGTCCCACATCCATGTCTCCTTATCTCGATAGCTTCCTTTATCCATCTTTTGTATTTCTGTTGTTCTGTGTTTATGATCCTTGTGTCGTCCCAGTCCATTACATGGTTTTCTCTTGTGCAATGATCTATTACGGCCGATCTGTTTATTGTACTTTCTGCTTTTTCTTTTGCTGCTCTTGTGTGTCTTTGACATGTGTCTTTCTCGCACTCCTTTCTATGTTCTATTGTTCGTGTGTTGGGTTGGCGCCCGTTTTCTCCTATGTATGTTTTATTGCAGAGTTTGCATGGGATTTCATAAACGACTCCACATTCAATTCCAGCTGGTATCTTGTCTTCTGTGTGTACTAGTCTGTTTCTAACTGTTGTGTATGGTTGTGTTGGTGTGTTTATGTTGTGTTTTTTCATCGTTGCTCTTATTTTTTCTGTTATGCCTTTGATGTAAGCAAGGTAAAGATAAACCTTTTCTGTGTTTTAAAAAATAACCAAAAATGGTACTAAATTTGTCTGCTCGCTTGCTTGCTGCAATATATCAAATTACATCTTTCATTTGGTTATTTTTGTCACACAAAAAGGTGTGTTCTCTAAACATAAGCCTCAGGATTTAAAACCATCTGTCGCCTCCTGGTTTCATCCTAGAGGATTCATGGTTGCTATAGAAACCTCATTAAGAGGTAAGATAAACTAGCGTGATGAGTCAAAACAGTGGCCTGTAATAGAACGAGTTTTGTTCAAGTACTTCTTCATGTTTTTCTTTAAAAGAATACAAATTCAGGTGAGATGATAGGTTCAATTTTCAGTTCTGGAGATCTTTCTGCTCCAGGTCGCAGGTCCCAGTGTGGAGCCGCAGCGCCCCCTGTCTGTGCAATGAGCTTAAGGTCCTGAACTCCAGCGGCATGGTGTGAGGGCTGGAGCTGGAGGTGTATTCATACTTTAATGTGTCGTAGTAGTGGTATTTCACCGTTTTGCCTTTTGGGTCCAGGGGAAACGGCCAGAAGCCATAAAGGTGGATCTCCTCACAGAAGCGAGTGGCCATCGTGTACATGAGAAGACCGGTGGTAGGACGCTTGATGTGGACGTTATTAGTCAGCCAGTACCTGTCCATAATCAGAAAGCCATTAGCTGCATTGGTAAGGAGAATGAGGCAGAAACACCTAAAGGCTCAAGTACCGTACACTAACCTGACATCACAACTAAATGCTTCATGTTAACCACAACTGTTTCTGAGTTGTTCTGAACTTTCTTCTTTGCGTCTTTCGAAGAACTAACAAAGAAACAGGGACAGCGTAACAAGTGGCAGGCGCTTCTCGCTATCTAATCAGGACCATGGCCAGCAACAGAATGACTGATGCTTTTGCATTTTGCACTGGCGGACTGTCCTGTTATGAAGCCTTCTGATGGTAAGTGAATGATTTCAACCTTCTCTGACTTTGTAATGCATTTGGTATTGTTGACTAAAATTTCCCGCACGTACATCTGGGGAAGCGTACTGCAATGAATTAATTGTAATAGCTACAAACTCCACTACACATGCACATGTCATGTTTGTGTGTGTATGTGTCTGTCTATCTATCCATCTATCATCTATCATCTATCATCTATCATCTATCTATCTATCATCTATCTATCTATCATCTATCTATCTATCTATCTATCTATCTATCTATCTATCTATCTATCTATCTATCTATCTATCTATCTATCTATCTATCTATCTATCTATCTATCTATCTATCTATCTATCTATCTATCTATCTATCTATCTATCTATCTATCCTTTTTTTTTAAATAATTTTTGGACCCACCACTGGTTGTTTAAATCAACACACAAGCTCTCCAGGAACCTGATTTATTCATAAAATCTTTAGTGGAAACAGCTGCTGGATTGATCTGATGAAAAACAGCTAAAATCTCCATTCTGTTCTTCTGTGGACTTTTCAAAATAAAAGTATTTGTACCATTTCTCTTTTTATTCTTGTCTACTGTCAAAAGGGAGTAGTTTGTAGATTAGGACTTTGCCTGCATGTGTGTGTTTTATTAGCAAAATATCTCATGATTTGGTCTATTTTATGCTTTAGTTGTTGTGCTACACACACTAAGACCTGAGAAACTTTGAACAAAAAAGCTCACAAATTAGCATTTTCACACTAACAGAAATATTCAGAAATCTTAATTCCTGATCTATTTGCTCGATACAACCACCATCTGTGTAGCAGATGTAGTTTTCTATCTGTCTGGTTTCATAAAATATGAATATTTGGGGAAAATTTGCTGCGCTGTGGAGGAAAACAGAAGGATTTTCTCCATGCCGAAGCACAAATCTTGAGAGCAGGATTTGACATATTTCTTACTCAATTTTGTGTTTGTTTTGTTACTTTTGTCTCTGCAGGTTGTTTTATTCAGAACGGTTTACAAGCAGTGCAGGATAACCGCCTACAGCTGCAGGTAACAAGTTACCAAACATGGCTGGTGGTAATAATTTGGGTAGTGACTCATCTTCAGCCATTTTTGGCAAGTACTTAAAAAAAGGATAATCAGAAAGGAAATCATAGCCTGTTTGTAAAACAGAGAGATAGCTGGAGCAGACAAAATAGGATAATTTGTTCAGTGACCAGCACCGGAGTTTGAGCTTTTTAATGAGGCTGGAAACATTCAGAGCTGAGAGGCAGCAAATGATGTGTTTCACAAATTCCTGCAACATCTAAATGCTCATTAGTGTGAATAAACAAGTACATTTAATGTTTTTCTATTTGTGTTGCTGCAGGGCCCCTCAACCCATGAACAATCTGCACATTCATAATTATGCAAGACAGGATTTTATAAAGGAGATTTCTTAGTGAAAGATGTGATAATCAGACTTCATATGCAATTTATTACAAGGAAAAACTTTTAAATCCAAGGCTTCATGATGGTGAGAATTAGATGGACAACATGAGGTCGATCTGCACTTTAAATTAATCCAGCATCTCCTCCGGTTGCCTGGCAATCTCTGAGTGATGACAGGGCTCACTGAATCCTGTTGTTTATCACCTGGATAAAGTCAGAGCATTGGAGAGCTGTGTCTCTGTGGAAATCTTACGCTGTCTATCAGGCCACGATTCATTAGACCTCCCTTAACTTTTACCCAGGAGGCTGATATTTATGGTCTGATTAGCACTGACGGCACAGAATTCACTCAGGAAGGACTTTTTTTATTTAGTTTTAGCGTTGGATTATGAGTGAAGAAGAGAAAAAAAAACTTCTCTTAAATTTAGCTGAAATCTGTAGGAAGTTTGTCGCTCAATTTGTCTGTTCAGTGGACAAACAAGGCTTTATTCACGATGAGTGAGAAATGAAAACTAGAGGAGAGGAATATTGAGTTGGTTGCCATCTGCTACTTTGCCACTTGGTGTCACTAAATCCCACAAATTAGTGGTTTCTTAAATATGATCCAAATACCCAGCCTTTCCACAGGATGCATGTGCAGTGTGTAATGTAGTAAATGTATTCAACCCACAGCCCCCCCCCCCCCCCCCCCAACCGGAAGTGTTTCAAATGTGAAATGGGAGCAAAAGTGTTCTACACAACTGATCCCACAAGGTCATGGAATCATGGAAAAAATGCAACACCCCACCTGATTTCAGCAGTTCACTTGATAACAAGTAAAAGAAAGATGGCAGCATGTCTCTAAAAAGGTCTGTGGTCTGTTTTCTGTTCTGTTTGCCTCTGCTACGAAGGTTTCACAGGAAGCGACGTACATTCTTAAGCAACTGGAAATCTGCACAAGACTTTTATTTTGAAAGTTCTCTGATGTTATACACTGCTTTTGTGTTTGACTTTTTGTCTGGCTTGATCTGAACTGCAGAGTTTGACACAATCTGGATGATTAGCTCGTAAACAAATAATTGACTTGAAACATAAGTGGTGCATCGCTACGCTTCTGAAATGCTTGCAAAACACAAAGCTTCGCGGCCGGGAGAAACTCATCCATCGATTCTATCAACAGCTTATTGCTGTGCACTACATTTGGTGGACAATGTACGATGCTTACGCTAGCGGTGGAAAATCCCAGTTACAGCAGTTTTAAGATTAAAGTATTTTGCCTTGGTTTTGGCCCAAGTTCGACTAGCCATTAGCTTGTCAATCTTGTCAGAACTCTGTTTCTCTAAACAGCGGCAATTCGAAGAGTCGTCTTCATCCACAGAACCCAACTCCCAAAATTCTAAACTGTTACTTTAAATAGAGAAGACATATTTAAACCAGACGAATACATTTAAAATACTGATTTTTAAAGTATTTAACAGGTTATTTTTGTGGTGATTGTCAGAATATTTTCAGCAAGATTCCGGTTTCCTGCTGATTCTTCACAGGCGCCCACTCAACATGCTTCATGAGTGCAGAATCAATTTGTTCAGGATGGGGAGAAAATCAGCTTATGTCCCAAAATGTCAGACATTGTGCGGCTCACAGGTGTTTGCACTAGATGGTGAACAATGGGAGCAGCAGCTGTGTTTCTTACCCTCTGACGGCGTGGAGAAGGCGTAGCGATGGGAAGGCCATGCGTACATCCACCGTGTGCAGCAGAATTAGACGAAGGACCCACTCCACGCGGTCCTCCCCTCTCTTAGCCATGAAGGCCGGGATCCACAGCACGCTGCCGCTCAGGTTTCGGAGGCGCTGCAGGAAGCGCTCCTTCCACTCCTCAGTGACCAGGTCCTGGAATGCTCGCTGCACCACGGAGGGGTTCATGGTAACCAGGTTGGTCCTCCAGCCCACATCCTGAGAGTACTCCTCCACTGGAGCCAGGTTACATCTAACATTCAGATCATTTCCTATTAATATGTGTCTTCACAAATAAATAAAATAACTTTTTTTTTTAATCAATCTGCTTAGTAATGTAAAATATGGAGTTTGGATGATGTTTGGGGCTTTTGTTTTTGGCTAATTTTCCACTTTCTTCTTCGGGAGTCTTCATAGGTCCATCCTGAGGATGACCAAGCAGTCACTGAACATAAATTATGTATTCTTGCAGCCGCAGAGCGTCCAGAGAAGAGAAGAGACTGGATGTCCCTACTGGACCTGTCGACCTTGTTTATGTCAAGGCTAAAGCTAGTGCTTTATTAAGTAAAATGCACTCAAATGCAATTCAAATCTAAGTAAAAGCAAATTGGGCCTGTTTTAATCTGTTGAGTATTCTGGAACACAGTGAAGCCTTCACTTTGGTACTTTGGAGGGACTAACTAGTTTCTAAATATGTAGAATCCAAAAGTTTAATTTAAAAGTTTCTCAATTTATAAATTTTACTCAGGCTATTTTCCCCGTGGCTAGGAGGTCTTATAATCAAGAACAATCTGAATATTTACTTTGTCAGTTTACATTCCTCGTGACGTTTTTGCTGCATTTAGTGTTCATCTCTGTTGAACAGCTGGTGGTAAGAAAACAACTCCGAGCTAAAATAATCCATACCTGCTCCCTCAAACACCGTCAGCCCACTTTGTGGAAACAAATGAAGGCCGACGACTAAATTTAGCTGAGACATTATCTTCCCATCTTGTGTGCCAAGCAAGTGCCAAAGCAAATTCCTCCGCTCCTCAAAATGACACACTTCCTGTTCTCTGTTTTCAGCCATGATTCAGCTCTCATACTGCAGCATGGGAAACCCCCCACCCAATAATCTCTTCCACTAAGAAAATGAAAGGTCTGCAAAAACCTGAATGAATTTATGAATTAAAGACCGGAGCAATCACAATTTTTGAAGATGTTGATTTCCAACTCCGGTAAGCTACTGCTTTGATTGGTGTTTTTCACTGTAGAGTTTCACTGGAAGAGTCAGAAACACACAGTTGTACAGCTGAAGCTACAACACAACCCCAGGCAGGCTTATTTATCTTTGAATACATGAATCACACAGCGTGACTCCTCTAGTTTGCACCCAAACACCAACACAGGAGCCTGGTGGCTTCACTCACTGTGTCCTGTTTGTAAATCAGAGCGAGTACCAGCAGAGCCAGTGTTTCCCTAAGAGGTACAGCACGTTCCTGGCTAATGCAAAAGCCTTTCATAATGTCAATTTCATGTATAATTGCTCTCAGCTATACGCGAGTTGTTTCTGATTTTTTAAATCATTAAATGAGCTCGGAAAGCTTCTCCCAAAGCCTAAAAAGCTGAAACGAATTTGTTGAAATGTTTCTATCATAGCTTCTTTCATGCGGAGGGAAAGCCAACCTGATAACAAAGTCGTGCGAGTCGATCTCTGGTCCACAGCTGCTGTTCAGCAGGATCCCAGAGTTACCCACGATGGCACACTTCCTGTGATGCTGGTTTTTCATTGGGGACGCAGTTGGCAACAGACGATAGAGATTTTCTGAAATGTTTGTGGTGCTGTGGCGATCAAAAAGGTAGTGGATGATGTCTCCGGGCTTCAGCATGCCCTTCAGGATCGAGATGTCTCTCTCAGGGTCGAGGAATCTGAGAATATTCTTCCTGTAAATCAGAGGAAATACGTGATAACAGCCTCTTGTTAGTGGATCTTGGAGGGGTGAAAGTGATGACACATACCTGATGAAGCTGGAGAGAGTCTTATTGAAAGTCCAGCGGTTTGAGGAGTGTTTGGAGCTGTTGCTGCAGCACGGACGATGAGGAGCCACGTGTTTGATCATTCCTGTCACAGCAGTCGGATCCAGCTGGACCTCAGCCTTTCTACATGACAATTCAAGTAAAAAATGTTGCCCTTTAAAAATCTGATCAGTTGGAGCCATGTTGTTCTTCCCCATGTGTCGTCTGGATTTCCTCCATTTTTTAAAAGATACTGAACTTATGTGACTCTTTGATTTTCTAGCCGAGTTAAGGTTAAGGTTTAACAGCATTAACCCTGACCCTGAACATGAACATGAACAATCTGAATGCCAGTCCAATTCACACAGAACACAATAGTGAAAAACAAACTAAACATAAGTAACTGCAAAAACAAACACACAGTTGAAGCAAACATTTGAGCCAATTGGCAATGACTTGCAACTGATGCTGTAAATAGGTCAGCACTAAGGGGCTTTGAGTGTCACAGAAGATCTAAAGCCAATCTAAAGGAAAAGCAAACAAAGAGCACGACATCTTGGATCATTTACTTTAATCTATATCTGTAATGAACTAGCTGATTAAAGCCATTATCACTTTAGGGTGAACTAAAAGGGACTCCAACAATGTAGATTTAAAGTCTTTTTTATGCTAATTTTCCTCCAGATCAACCTCAATCATCCTAATCATTTCCAAACAGACTGATTAATTGAGGATTATAATTAAGCTATAACTCATACGGAGGATGATTATGACTCCAAACCAGTTTTATATTCCATTTGATTGTGGTGTAACTTTAACTTCAGACTCACTGGATGACACACTGCTGCGTATTTCTATCAGCTACCTTACAAATGTTCTGACACACTCACTCTCAGCGACACAGTACAGTGACTCACTGAGCTAACAAGGCTGCAGAAAAGTGACCCAAAGAAAAAAAAATTAAATAAATAAAAATAAAAACACGCACACATAATTTAGCTCCTAACTGGTGATCTATTTCATAAGGTCCAATGAAAAAGTAATTTCTGAACACATTTCCAATGTTTTTGCTTTTCAGTCACGTTTAAAGCAACCACATTTCATTATTAGACAGAAATTACTGAGTCACTTTGTATTTACTGAGTAAAATCAAAAATTCAGTTTTCAGATGATAGTTACATTTATTGAGGGAAAAATCTATCTGAACTAACCTGACCTAAATAGCATTAGCAGGCTAAACGATCTCAAAAAGCAACCACCCGGTTATGAAAAAATCCCCAAAACAATCAAATCAAGAACATCTTAAGCTCTGCATGTGTCACTTGGTTCGTGTTGAGGTCATAGGTCACAATTCAACAATAAGAAAGAGAAACTGTAAAAATAACATCCACGGGAGAGTTTTGAGGCCAAAATGTGTGTTTGCGAAAAAAAGAACAGTCTGCCTCACATTTGCCCAAAACTATTTTGATGATCCCAGAGACTCTTGGGAGAATCTCTTGATGACTGATGAGACAAAAGGGGAACTTTTGGGAAGATGTTCGTCCCTTTCTACCTGATGTGAAACAAACAGTAGCAGTCAGACACGACGGAATTAGTGTGATGGTCTGGGGCTGCTTCGTGGTCTGGATGACTTGCTGTAATGATGGAAACATGAATTCTTCTCTCATCATGAGGAAGGTTATGTTTGATTTTTCATCTGAAATATTTAAGGTTTGCAAAAAAGCTAAAAAAGAAAAATATTTTAACCATTTTTGTGTAGGGGTGTGTGTGTGTGTAATGTTTCAGACCTGTGTGGTTTGAGCCGGTGTGAGTTCATCTTCTTTGAGTGTTCGATATTTCTGGGAAGAGAAAAAAAAGTAAATAGATTTATGAAACACTCACAGCATTTTCCATGGAAGGCGCTGAGTGGATTCAGCATCAGGGGTGAAGTGTATACCTCCCCTCAAGTCAGGATGAAGGTGAAAAGCACACATCAGTGCATTTCTGTGTGAGGGATCCTCTTGGCCCCATTTGCTGATGTAATAAGAAGACATTTCCCCGTAATGGAGCCTTATTACACAGAAAGGAGGGTTGCTTTACAGGTTGCCACCGAATGCACCATCCCTGATGAATTTATGTTAAATGTACTTAACATGCATCCAGATCTTCAAGAGTCACACACTTTAGAAAGCATGACCTTGGGAACATCTGTTAGGCTTTGCAGCAAGCTGACAGAATAAATGAAAGAGTGATGAAGTGAAACCGAAGTCGGCTGTCAGGCCTTTTTCAATCTTCGCAGAGCCCTGCTGGCCTTTAAATATGCTCCTATTAGGCAACGTTTATGCATAATTGGTTCTGGTTCTCTTCTCCCTCAGCGAATCATAAACCAATGTGACCTCATTACAAAGTGAGCCACAGCCGGGTAATTGCATTCAAAACAAAACGTTCTTCCTGAGAGATAAATATGGGAATCAAAAGCTTAAAACAGAAAAACAGAGACAAAAAAGTGTTTGTTTCATAGTAAAAGGAGCATCCTAGGGAGGAAGAGGATGAGTTTTCTTATATTGTGCTAAATTGCATTTTTCTTGTAGATCACATGGAAGTAGTACAAAATATAGGTGACTTGGAAAGTCTGGGCTGGACTACTCAACATTTCAAAGTGAAATGAAAAAGAAGAAAAGGAAAGCCTCTATTGTCCCCTTTTTACCTCCCCCCTCAATCTGTCCTCCCCTCTCCACACACACACACACACACACACACACACACACACACACACACACACACACACACACACACACACACACACACACACACACACACACACACACACACACACACACACACACACACACACACACACACACAGTGGAAATGTATCCCATCCCGCATGCAGGCTGCTGCTGCAAGACAAATAGCCTCCTAATCCTGGGAGACCCGGGCAGGCGGGCGGGCTGATGTGGGAACAGCTGAAGCACCCAAGTGTTATAAAGGTGGAAACAAAAGCGCACAACATTTTAAATAAGAGCAACTCTTTAAAACTGTTCCTGCATGCACACCTGATCAGATCTGAGGGAAATAACCTGCTCGACTGCAAACAATACACACCACACGCGCGCGCACGCAAAACAATTAGATAAATAACCGTGTGTTACTCACGCGGCTTCTTTCTCTACTTCTGCCACATCACCTATGATGAGAAGAACAACCAGCAGCGTTACGAAGCCGAAGAGCAGCGAGCGGAACATGAGCGGCATGGCTGATGGGGGGAGAGCGGAGGGGGTGAGGAGGCTCCTTCCACCTACATTAACCTTCCTATCATTAAAACAACCGAGAGGATCATTCCTGTCTTTGTTCTAATCGCCGGTGTCGGACACTCCCACGCAAGCTGCGGTCCATTTCTGCCCCCCTCTTCCTCCTCCTGCCTCCTCCTCCTCTGGATGTTGTGTGTATGTGTGTGTGTGAGGGGTGTTTCTGTCTCCCCGACGCAGCTGCCGCCGTCTCCGCTCTTGTACCACTCTGCTCTCCCCAGTCAAACTTTGAAAGTGTGCACCTACACAAGCAGCCTTAAAGGCACAGAGAGGAGCAAAAATCCATGTAACATCATTAAGATCAGAGAGAATTCAAGTAAATCGCAGCATGCAGGAGATGGAGTCTGAAACCTGAAAATCTGAACATTACCGGTAATAATCTTTCTCAAACGTGCAGAAGCTAACTCAGTGATATATTCACACCTGAAGATCACTGACAGGAAACAATCAAATTAAAATATCTCCATTTTCTTTTTCCTTTTATTTTGTTGTCAAATGTTTATTAAAAATCTTGAATCATGGTTTAGAAACAGAGCATCCTCCTCTGTGCTTTCTCAGTTGAGAGTGCTGATGTCAGGAATAATAATAAATAAATAAAAAGAAACACTATTTCCTCCATCATCTACTGAGCAGCTTCATTTCTCTTCAAACAAGCTGTTTTTTGTGCTGAGACAACTAAGAGAGCAGTTGTATCTTATTAGCAGTTTTTCTCAGCAGATAATAGGAATAAAAACTAAAATTTGCATAATTTACCAACAGTTTCATGCTTTATACAAAGACATACTATAAAATAAGAGAAAAAGCAAGCACAATGTAAAAAAAGCACTTGAGTGTCATCCTAAAATTAGCAAATGATGAGTGGCACTTTTCAAGATAAAATATCCCAAAGCTAATTAGATGATTTGAAAAATACAGATAACTTTTAAAAGAAGCATGAGTTCACTGATATAGTCAGAAGAAGACAGATCCATATCTTGGAGCCACAGAAGAATAGGCCCTGTCTCCTTTATTCTTGAATGGGGGATGAGCAGCAAGCCTTGAACAGAGGACACCGGGGACCTGACTGAGGTCTGAAGATGTAAAAGACTCTGTTCAAATCAGAACCAGGATCTTGAAATGTACCTGAGAATAAATAGCAAGGCAGGGGAGTGACATGAGATAATTTAGAGGATTTAGTCAGGAGCCTGGCAGTAAAATTTGCAATGTCTGTAAATTGCATTACAATAATCCAAGCTAAACTAAACAATAGCATGGATTAAATGTTCCTTTTGAAAGCGAGAAACAAGTTCTCACATTTTTTTAAAAGATGCAAACAGGATGGAATCAGAGATTTAACATGAGTACCAATCAAAACACCCGGAGCCAAATGTTATCCCAAGACTTTAGAGAGGACTTTTGTTAAAACACCAAGAGACAAAAGGATTTCTATGGTTATTTTCTCAGGTGCAAATATAATTATTTGACTTTTCTTATTATTTAATTGAAAAAAAAAAGGCCAGCACTTAGATGAATCTAGACCAATGGCTGGGGAAACATGTGCATTGGTCCTTGCTGAAATCTGATTGGCCCGATGAAGTGCCCTTGCCCTAAAATTATTTAAGGTTTTGTGTAAAAACACATTGAGGACTCCAACCGCTCTTCTTGCTAAATTGATGTCATGAACTAAACAAGGAAAAGAAGAAGGAAAATGGCTGAGTTTCCCAAGCTTCACATCCTTCTTCCAGGAAGAAAGAAGGAGCATTAAACATGGAGAAAATCATAAATCTGGCCATGTGGAAAGTGGCAGCTTTGTGGGGTAAAGAGATTCTGCTTCAACGTCATTTAGGCGACTTCTGATTTGTAGTAATTTTATTTGCGATTGTTTTTACAAGCAAACTGTGTGACAGATATAGTTGAAAGACACATAATTATTATTTTTAAATGGAAGTACAGCGTATGTGTGATTCAGGCCATTAGGCAAAGTGGACCAAATCTATCGATTGATCGATCGATCGATCTATCTATCTATCTATCTATCTATCTATCTATCTATCTATCTATCTATCTATCTATCTATCTATCTATCTATCTATCTATCTATCTATCTATCTATCTATCTATCTATCTATCTATCTATCTATCTATCTATCTATCTATCTATCTATCTATCTATCTATCTATCTATCTATCTATCTATCTATCTATCTATCTATCTATCTATCTATCTATCTATCTATCTATCTATCTATCTATCTATCTGTCTGTCTGTCTGTCTGTCTGTCTGTCTGTCTATCTATCGATCTATCTATCTATCTATCTACATCAAAATTCCTATCTCACCCTCTGCAGGTGGTCTCATCCTTCCAATCTCGGGTCCTCTACCAGAGGCCTGGGAGCTTGAGGTTCTGAGTAGTATCTCAGCTGTTCCTAGAACTGCACTTTTCTGGACTGAGATGTCTGATGTTTTTCCTGGGATCTGCTTTAGCCACTCCTCCAGTTTGGTGATTACTGCCCCAATGACCACATGCACCACTGTTGTCTTCACTCTCCAGGCTTTCTCAAGTTTTTCGTTCGGGCACTGGTACTTCTCTTGTTTCTCGTGTTCCTTTTTCCTGATGTCGCCATCACTTGGCTGTCCTCTGTTGTTTGTTCACCACCACAATGCCCGATTGGTTCACCATCACCATTTTGTTGGTCTGCATCTGGAAGTCCCACAGGAGCTTCGCTCTCCTATTCTCAACTACCTTAGGGGGTGTTACCCACTTTGACCTTGGGGCTTCCAGTCCATACTCTGCACAGATATTTCTTCACACGATGCCAGCCATTTGGTTGTGGTGTTCCATGTATGTTTTCCCCTCCAGCATCCTACACCCTGCAGTCATGTGGTGGATTGTCTCAGAGGCCTCTTTGCACAGCCTACACCTTGGGTCTTGTCTGGTGTGGTAGATCTTGGCCTCTGTTGCTCTGGTGTTCAGGGCCTGTTCCCATGCAGCCATGATGAATGCCTCTGTGCTGTCCTTCAGACCAGCTCTTTCTAGCCTTTGGTAAGATTTCTTGACATCAGCCACTTCAGTTACCTGTCTGTGGTACATCCCATGTAGGGGTTTGTCTTCCCACGATGGTATTTCCAGCGTCTCCTCCTCTGTTCACCATTTTCTGAGACAATCACTGAGCATGTCATCTGTTTGGGCCTTATCTTTGATGTACATATGGATCTTGGATGTTTCATCTTGGATAGTGGCTCTCATACTCATCAGTCCTCGGCCTCCATACATGGTTAGGAGATTCCGTGGCTTAATTTCTGTGGTCTGTAGTTCTTCCTTTGGCCAGCTTATTATTCCTGCAAGATATCTGATTACTGGCAGGGTGTAGCTGTTTATTGCACAGATCTTGTTCTTTCAGTTGAGCTGACTTCTTAGGACTTTCCTTACTCATTGAAGGTATTTGGCTGTGGATCCTTTCCTTGTGGCTTCATCAAGGTTGCTGTTTGCTTGTGAGATACCAAGGTACTTGTAGCTGTCCTCAAAGTCTGCTTTTGTTCCTTCTGGGAGAGAGACTCCTTCTGTCTGGACTATCTTTCCTTTCTTTGTCACCATCCAACTACAGTTCTCAAGTCCAAATGACATTCTGATATCAGTGCTGTAGATCCTGGTTGTGTGGATCAGCGAGTCAATGTCTTGCTCACCCTTGGCATACAGTTTGATGTCATAGAGAAGGTGGCTGACTGTGGTTCCATTTTAGAGTCAGTATCCATAGCCAGTCTTGTTGATTATTTGGCTGAGGGAGTTCAGACTCCTGGTATGTGCCACTTTTGATGGAGACTTGTGCAATTGGCTTGCAATTAGCCAATTGGTTTTCCACAGCCCCATTGTAATGAAGGATCACACACACACACACACACACACACACACACACACACACACACACACACACACACACACACACACACACACACACACACACGTGTACACACATATATATATATATATATATATGTACATATATATGTATATATGTACACACACACACACACACACACACACATATACATTTTTTTTGGCCCCTTGATGACCTCATATGAGTGAGTGATGTTTATTTGACATGGACACAGCAATTACATTGGACGAACCAGATGCATTGTTTAGTGTGTTAGCACACGTGCTAATTTGCAACACTTGTCCATAGAACTTTTCTAAAAAGTCGACTACAGTTAAATAAAATACAAAGAGATCAACAATAAATCAAAGAGAAAACAGATTAAAATTGCAAACAATTTTCAATAAAAAAGAATAAAAAGAATAAAACAAGGCAATTTGAGCAGCAATGCAAGACTTTAAAACTATTCATGTAGACATTGTTGTTTAGACTTTAACCATTTTTTGAGCTCTTTGTTAAAAACATTACTGTCCGTTTCTAGTTTTAGGTCAACAGGTAGAGAGTTCCAAAGTTTGGCCCCCTTTACAGAAAGAGCAGACTGAACAAAAGAAGTCTTGCACCGCGGGACGAGACAATCGCCGCAGGTGGAGGCTCAAGTGATCGTTCTATCTATCAAAGAAATCTTAGATTTTCTGCTAAGACTTTACAATATGGGTACCTTTATTAACGTTGTCTAATTGTTAAATATTAAGTGTCCTAAAGGTTAGAACAAAGGGCCAGGAGGGGTGTCTGCTTAGTAATGCATTACACAATATGGTTAAGAAGTTGTTAATACTTTATTTAATAGTTCATTACAGTTTTTCTCCATTGGTTTGGCTTCTTTCTTGAAACCGAAATTACATTCTCAAACCTCTAAGATCATTTGGCAAAACACTCTTATAGTTTAGCACAACACTATAGCTCACCTGCAAAAGCTCATATCTCTTCCAAAACTGTTCACTCAGGCTTCAATCTAAATCCCTTTCTCATTTAAACAGTCAGTGTCTCCAAAATGGCAAAGATCCTTCTCAATAGCTTTGGCTCATTTCTCGGCACGGATCGGACATTCTCATCGTTCTTGGTGCTTTTGTCAAAATACACCTGGATGGTTGATCACAACAACATGGTTTAACTGCAAAAGCTCATATCTCTCCTAAACCGTTCACTCATGTGTCAAAACTACATTTCTTTCTAATGTGAATATTCAGTGCCCCCAAAATGCATTGTCCCTTCGGCATTGTGTGAGTACTGCCATACAAAATGTTTATATGTTTTGTCACTATGGCAGAGGACCAACAATATACA